TGGACAGTATGATCTGTCGTATTGGGAAGACTCGCTGGGAGTCACTCATCGACAAAGCTCTAATCTACAGAGATGCGTGGAACATTTGGAAAACTTCCTGGCCCAAGCCTCTCCACCCCCGACACCTTTAACGCCTAACCATGAATCGGATCGTCAATCTATCGAAATGGACGTGGACATCGTAACGGCGGCCGAGCATCTGCGGTTTGCTGCGGACGCCTTGGCCAAGATCACCGGCAAGGGCGAGAGCGGTGACGTCGAGGATGTGCTGGGGGTCGTGTTCGAAAAGTAGGTCTTGACTGTGACATGTTGTTGTGCTGTAATGGCGCTGACAGAGTGGTGTGGTTTAGGTTTTGCGTCGGCAAGTGAACAGACGTTGAAGCTTGCATCGTGATAACGGATGGCTTTGGGATGTCTATACCCCTGCCCGTCCTCCGCCCGCTCCCCCGAGAAAACATCCTGTCGTTGGCGATGTCGCAAACAGGATTGTAACGTGTTACCAAAGTTTGGCAGTTGTTGTCGTCTTGCTTCCGTGCGACTGCGAGTGTTGCAACGTACGGATTACTAGTCAAGGACGGGACACGCCGAGGTTGGGTTGGAGTTGGAGGGCTGGGGATCGTTGTAGCCGCCTCTTCCCATGAATGAATGGAGGTATGAATGGGTTTCTTCTGGCGTGTTAGAACACAACGCCAGCGGGACTTGATGGAGAAGAGGTTTGCTAGAGTAGAAGAGGGTTCTGGGAGTCCACCTGCGAGAGGGACAATTGCGCTGGGATTCTCCTCTCAATCAACGCAATCGCGCGCCATTTATACCTGTACGATAGATATAAATAAACTGGTATCTCTTCTGAATCATGTCTGCCTCATGCATGCACCAGGCACCCACCGAGTGAGCCGCGCCAGCACCCTGTGACTAACAGGCTGCCTTTGGTGATTTTGCATGATGAGGTTCAGGCAGAATTCTTCTTCTTCCTTCGGGAAGTTTCCGAATCATTCTAAGATAGGCGTCCACTGCGTTTGGCCTTTGGCTTCGCGATTCCCAGCTATCCCGACAGTGGGAGGGTAACTGGAGCGCAAAGGACACAGAATCGCACAACGTCATATTGAATGTTCAGCTAGAACCTTCAACCTGAGGATGAATCATTCTGTCAGCTGAGAAGTGGCCTTAAGAACGACCGAATAACAGAGCAGCGATTTCGATCGTCTGTTGGTGACTCACCGGGAGTTTCCGGGTGTGATTGGAGGAGAGGCCTTAGGTCTCCGCTGAGACGGTTGAATAGCTTCATCAGGGTGGATATGGCGGCTTTACTGCCCCGATGGAAGATTCACATCGAAGATAACGTAGGAGGATACTGCCATGGATCAGGAGTACTGCATCGTGCAGAGGCAAATATTTCCGAGTGTCTACTCCGTAACGGCGGAGAGGGGAAATGCGGGGCCTCCACGGTGGACGGATGACTCAGCAGCCCCCTCCTCATCGTTCTCCAGAGTCCCCGAATCGATCTGGTCGATTCAATTCCACCTCCAATCTCCAATGTCCCCGGCCTGGGCGATCCAGCTCCACAAACTAAGCAATCCTCGTCCCTAGGCGAAATATGTCTTTCCCCCCATGAATTCCAATCCCGAACCGACCGCCCCGGGGGCCATCCGGACGGAATCCCGAAGGAAGCCCTCCGGGACGATTGCGAAAAGGGCCTGTGACCAGTGCAAGTTCCGAAAGATCAAGGTACCGATCCCGTCTCCTCCGCGGCCTGCATGGATCGCATTGTCTGTCTATCGGTGGATTTGTTTGCTCTGTTCTATCCTGTTCCGCCCTCCGATGGCGGCGCCGGGGGTTTTTCCTGAGGCTAACCCGTTCCGATCCTGCAGTGCAGCCTGTCGCAGCCATGTAAGGCCTGCGTTTCTATGGGATTCGACTGTACTTTCTTCCAGCCACAGAAGAAGCGCGGTCCAACCGGCCAGTAAGTCTCCGGATCCCTTTGGACTGTTTTGTTCAGGTCTGAGAATGCATTGCGCAGTCGCGTGTCGCAAATCCGACAGCAACAGACGCATCAGCCGTTCCCGAAGAGCCCGCAGACTCCGGACAGTCCCAGTGCTTATTCCAATGCTGCATTTCACTATCAATCAGAGCTTCCGCCCCAGGAGGAGAGCCAGACCCGGTTGTCTGCTCCTCCGATCCATGAAGGCTCCGCTCATTGGCCGGTATCGGGAGGCGACACGTCTGTCCCGGTGGACTTCGCGCCGCACGCGACGGTGTCCGTGCCGCCTGGCTGGAGCGCAGACGGCTCGTCAATTGATTCCCATAGCAACAGCGGGATCAGTTGGGGCGATCGAAATGACGTAGAATACTGGCTCCCGGATAACCTCGAGTCCCAGCAGATGTCCCTTTTGGATTTTCCCGGCAGCAATATCTACCTCCGACCCTCGCTCCCGTCGATCATCCAACCCGATGCCCATAGTCCCGGGCTACAACCGCCATCGATAGAGTCCGTCAAGGTCGAGAGATCCAGCTATGAACCGCAACAGCAACCAGGACTCGCTCCGAGCCGCGCGACATGGCCGGCCTCCATTGTGGAGGCAAACATGATCCCCTGGATCGACGTGTATTTCGATCGCCTCCATCCAACACTCCCACTGCTGAATCGCTCCACTTTGTTTATTCGCATTTTGTCGCAGGAGCACCGCACGAACGCGCAGTTCGGTTCCATGTTGCTGTCGCTATGCGCCTTTTCTCTCACACAACCGATTGAAATCGACGAGCGACCTACCACTTCGTCGCGAGCTACCCAAGCCCGATTGATGATGAACGAAGCGACGAAAATGCGCAGCTCGTCGGATTTTGGGGAGCATCCATCCATAGAGGCCGTCCTCACTAGTTTCTTCCTCTTTGGTTGTCTTTTCGGCAGCAACCAACACAATGCCGCGTGGCTTCGGCTGCGGGAGGCGTTAGACCTTGCAGCTACCTTGGGATTAAACGACCCAGATTCGTATCGAGATCTCCCCAGCGATGAAAAAGGCCAACGCTTACGGACGTATCTCGTCTTGTCCATCACGGAAAGGTATGGAATTCGCCTTGGTGGGGCCTGCGGTGGCTAATGAACATATCGAAAACAGAGCCTACGCTTTGCAGAGGAGACATCCCATCACGTTTTGGGGAAAGCCTGGATTCAGCACGCGGTCGGTTCAGGACTTTATCCACAGTGCTACACACAGCGTTGTCTCTGGCATCATCGTCCACAACGAGAAAGACGCAGAAGGCATGATGGGCTTGGCTCGTCTGATGGAACTGTTCGATGCTATTGACGAGGAGGTTGTTGACTGCTGGAATCGACGCTGCACGATCAACTCAGGTTACTGCGAACGACTGAGCCAAGAAAAGGCCTTGGACATCTATCGAAATCTCGACCACGTCAGCGAATCTGAGAGATATAAGGGATATGACTGGTTCAAACGCAGCAAGTCTGCGCCTAGCGAGGTTTCAGCTGTTCGATCGACCGTGGGGTTGGCGGAAACACAAAGTGCCGACATATTCATCACGAAGAAGTGGCTGCAGAACCGCGTTTGGGTTCTCTGTTCGACTCATGGACTGTTGAAATCGACATCTGAGCATCATGAGCTGTGTTTCGGCTATGCCATTACGCTGGCGATGGAGACACTTAAAATCTGCCAGTCACTGCGCCTCAGCTCCATGGAGGCACATGGCATAGGCCTGGTTAGTTAACAGTGCCTTCAAACCCATCTCACGTCACTAATGCATGTTCTAGGCCGAGAAAGTCTATGACATCGCTGTCAGTGCGATCAGCGTCGCGTCCAATGCTCAGCTGTCTCTGGGGAATGGGTTTCCGGTATCACCGATGGCGGGTCCAATATCACCAGCTACTTCATCCTCTGCAGACCCAACGCAATCGATGGCCCCTGCGGCGGCAGCTGCGCTCCCGGTCACCCTGGTTGACGATTTCTTACATGTGCTAAACAGCCTACGTGGCGGGAACCACCCCTTCTTGGAGAAGTACAAGGCATTCGTGAGCACTTTGCGTGGTAGCGTGGGCAACTGGGCGGTGCAGCAGTAACCACATCTGTCCATACGATCATATATGTTTTTCTTTCTAACACTGTGGCTGGCGCTTGAACCTCATGACATCCCTCAACGCCAACCATTTAGCCCTGATTTTGTCTATATAAACTACACATGGTATATACCCCGTGAAGCTACGAACCGGGTGTTTGGGTTACTACATGGGATTCTTTCTGTATCTATATTATTCTCTCTCTATCGCTGTTCTGTACAACACTTGTTTGAGGTGCAGGTTCCGTGTTGCACGAGGTCTTATACGTCCTCCATTTCCACGCGGGCACGCCCGCCTCGTACATCTCGTCGATCTCCACAAACGTGCGTCCTCGTGTCTCGGGCATGAGGAAGAACACAAAGATAATAATACAGACCATACACCCGGCGAAAATGAGATAGGCCTTCGCGCCCAGCCCCGCCGCATCCGCTGCCGTCAACTGCGGCACAACGAACGTCGTCACGACCGCCGTAGTCTGCGCACAGGCAACCGTGTAGGCCATGGTGTGGTGGCGCAGCTTGGGCGTGGCCATCTCCGACGGCATCAGCGCCGACAGCGAGAAGAACGACGACGCCCAGAAGAAGTTCAGCACGAACGAGAGCGCTGCAATGGCCGTCGTCGCCCGCTGGTCATCGCGGCGGAACGCCAGCCCGCCCGCCACAGCGTCCACGACCAGAATCACGCTCATGCCCACCAGGGCGGTTGGGCGCCGCCCAACACGGTCCAACACAAACGGCGCCACAATCGTGCCAGCAAGTGTACAGCACGCCGCGATAACCGTCAATGCAAAGGGATCGGTCGCGCCGATCTCGGTCAGAAACACAGTCCCGTAGGTGGTCGAGAGGATCACGCCGGAGATCTGGTTGAGCGAGAAGAACGAGCCGGAGGTCAGCGTGCGGCGCACATGCTTCCGCGAGAAGATCTCCCAAAACGCGACGCGTTCTTTCATCTGGCGCTCCTCGGCCTCAAACACCCCCAGCAGCCGCAACTCGTCCTCGACCTGCTCATCCGTCCCGCCGCGCAGCTTCCGCAGGTTCCGCCGCGCCGCATCCACCCGCCCCTTGCCCACCAGCCACTGCGGACTCTCGGGCAGCGGCGCGGTGCACAGCGACAGCAGCGCGGGCAGCGCGCACTGCACGGCCAACGGGATCATGTACGACTCGCGGCCGCCGAGCGTCTTCGTTCCGTACACGACGACGGTGCCGAGCACGCCGGCCGTGACGTTGAGGATGTTGAGGGTGGACACACTGCGGCCGCGCATGGACGCCGGCACCACCTCGGAGAGATACAGCGGGGCCGTCCCGTTGGCGATGCCCATCGCGGCGCCGTTGATGAAGCGCCCGGCCACGAAGGCGCCCAGGTTCGGCGCGAGCACCTGCACCAGCCCGCCGGCGATCGAGACGACGTACGCCAGCAGCACGGGCCGCTTGCGGCCCAGGTGGAAGTTCAGCGGGGAGGCGGCGAGACCGCCAAGGATGGAGCCGACCAGCGGGACGGAGAAGACTAGGTTCTGGTTGCGGGCTGTCAGGACGTATTTGCCTGCGGCATGGTTGGGGCCTTGGTATTTGGCGACCTGGGGGTCTGTCAGTCAGTCTGCTTTGTACTTCGTGGAGTAGATAGGTAGGCTGGGGCCACTTACGAACGGTTCCAGCGAGGCCACCGGGGAGATGATCTTGTCGTCGAAGCCGAAGAGGAGCGAGGCGGCGCTGAAGATCACACAGGTCAGGATGAGAAAGGCGTTGACGGTGCGCTTTTCCTCTGCTGGGCGCTCATCATGTACGCAGTGAACCTCTGTCTTGGTCACATCGCCACTGGGAGAATGGGGGTTCCCGGTGCCTCCGGGGGAAGAGGAGGCAGGCTGGACGGTCATATCGGGGGCTTGAGATGCATTGTGTGAGGAAGATGGAGCAGCTGAGCATGGAGATGGCGAGGCAATGGTGGGAGGGCCCCTTTTCCACGCATTTCCACTCGGTCTTACAGAGTTTCGCCGTGGAGGCATTAAGGTTTGGGTTTGGGCGCTGATTGGGTTGCCCCGTCCTGCACATTCCGGGGTTCCGGGGTTGTCTCGGATCGCCTTCCCGTATCCGGCGGCAACCCGAACTTAGTCAAAGCCTTATTATTAACTATCGCCTTTATCTTATTGTGTTATTGTCTTATTATCCTATTATCCGATTGTTTTATTATCTTATGGTCATTATTATATCGTTGTTATGCACATCTCATCCCATACTACCTCATCTGAGGCTATGCTCTAAACTCAACCATCCACCCACAATGCAAAGGGTATCAAATCATGCGTGACACCTTGTACTATAAAATGTATAGTTGGAAAATAAACAGAGACGAAAGGAAAAGGTACTAGTATATTCGAATCATCGCTGCCAGAATTTCCAACTGGGGAGCGACAATCGGCCGTCCCGTTGGTAAATGCGCCAGAAATACACCGGCACCCCGGCGATGATGAACGCCACGACAATCAACGTCTGCAAAGGTTCGGCAATGACAGCGCGGCTGAGAAGGAAGAGGCTGACACAGCAGAAGATGATCGGAGTCGAAATCCACGTTTTGTACGGACGCTCCAGGTATGGTTCGCGGATCCGGAGAACAATCAATCCAAGAACCGTGAGAAAGTAAAACGTATAGCCCGCTACTCCATAGAACGTCACGAGGGTCTTGAATTCGCCAACGACAACGTAGACGACTGTGAGGGCGCTATTCAACGCCATTGCGTTGATGGGAGTGTATCCCAGACGGGTATTCTCCCCGCAGATCCGTGTCATCATTTTGCTGGCGCACGAGCGATGTTGAAGGCGGTTGGTTGCGCCACTGGTTGGACCGCCTCGAGTCCACAGATTGCCAAACACGGACGGCAAATAGCCTTCTTTGCCGGCTGCATATACTAATCGCCCGCTGGTAAACACCGTGGCATTCAGAGCGCCAAAGCAACTCGCGGACACAATCAGGGCAAACACAAGGGCGCCGACGCTTCCAAACACCTTTTGGCCGAACTGGACCGCGACGGTGTTACTAGCCTCAATGGTCGAATGCGGCAGCACCAAGAAGTAAGAGACATTGGCCAACAGGTAAAAGAGAATAACCAGTGGCATGGCGGTATGGATCACGCGCGGGAGATCCCGATTAGGGTTTTTGAATTCACCCGTAACGAAGTTCGTCTACAACATTGGTCAATAGGGCAGAAGGAGAAGGCAAAGGGTAGAAACATACGTTGTCCCAACCATCAAAAGCCCACAGGCCCGCATACAGGGCCACCGCCCAAGCAGACACGTCCACGCTGGTGTCCTGAAACCAACCTGACTTCCATTCTTCGCTAGCGCTTCCGCTGGAAGAGAACCCGGTGATAGCAACGATAATGCCGATGACAGTAATTGCAATCAGGGCGATGAACTTGAAAAACATGAGAAGATCGCTAACGCGCGTTGCGACCCGGGTCGAGATGCAGTTGAGCAGCGTTACGGCAAAGAGGCCACCAAACGCCACTGATTTATTGATCCAAGGACTGAGCTGGTCCGCATCCGCTCCAACCACGGCGCGTACAACATACTCCCCGAAGATGATGGCAATGATAGCCGCACTGCCGGGTTTAAGCACCAGAACTGCGCACCAGGTAAAAAGAAACCCCGCCAGCTCGCCAAAAATCTTGGACAGGTAGACCTGAGCACCACCATTCAGGGGAATCGCTCCACCGAGTTCCGCATAACTGGCGGCTCCTGTCCAGGCTAGGAGGCCCGCGACGGCCCATGCGATCAGTGATGCGCCCGGAGAGCCCGCATTAGCATTCACCTGGCTAGGTGACGAGAAAATGCCGGAACCAATGATCAGCCCAACCACCAGCGACAGGCCATTCAGGTAGGTCAGCGTCTTGTTTCTTTCTAACGATCCGTCGGCCAATCCCGCCTCTCGGTCAATCATCGACGGGGCACCTAGGGGAGCATATCCTCCGTTTGTCTGCGACAAAGGGAACAACGCCGAGCCGAAATCAAACGCCGATGACACCGAGTATGAGCGAGCGGACCTCGGTCTCTGAGACTCCAGGCCCGCATGCAAATGCGAGCCCGAGAGGGGGTCTTCATCTTCGAGGGAGAGTTTGCGCGAGGAGGAGATGCCCGAGGGGGAGGAGGAACGGGACGATCTGTCCCCGGATTCGGGAGACGACGAGGCGAGCGAGGCGAGTTCTAGGGAGTCGCGAGGAGCATTATTGTTATGATCGGACCGATTCTCGAGATTCGAGAACGATATGTGGGACATTTCGCCAGGGGAGTCGGGTCGGCTCGTGGTAGGGAGGGAGAAGGGGGTGGTCAAAGAGTGGACGGCGAGTCGGCGACTGGTTCAATGACGACGGGGAACGGGGTGTTTTTGTTCCATGCCCGCGCGGGGTGGTCTATAAGCACAATGAGATGAAGCTATGAGTAGAGCAAGTGAAGGACAGAGGGAGAAAGAAAAGAGAAAGCAGGACATCCGTCGTGATGTGGAGGAGAAACAATCCGCATTATTATTAGAAGAATGATGATCGTCGTCCGGCCAAATCGGGTCTAGTGTCCCTGTCGGGAGTTTCTCTTTCGGGACATTCACGATCATCAATCTTCACCATCTCTGTCTTCGAAGAACTCTCCATCCTCTCGCTCATGAGGCCACCACAGTCCCCCGCCGGTGTCCTTCGCTGCAATCCACCGGTTCCATGGGGTAGACCCGCGTGCAGATCCTCCAGACGCTATGCTTCCTCCGCTACCGCTGCGGCCGCCGCATCGCCACCTCCGAAGCAGCGACTTTGGGTTCGGTTGGCCGTCGTGACCGTTGCTGCAGCCGGAATTGGTGCATATGCTCGGTCGCGGCAAGGTTCCAACTCATCTACGACATTAAACCCATACACGTTCACTCCTTATACCCTGGTTTCCCGAGAGCCGATATCTTCGAGCGGCAGTCTTTTCACCCTCCAACCACCGAAGCCGGGCGCAGGCAACACCGAAGTCTACGAGGAAGCATGGAAGACTGGAGTATGGAGTGTGATGTTTAAACAACCACAGCTGCAGATCGGACGGGATTATACGCCGCTTCCTCCCTCGCCTGAAGACGGCGACTCATTGCGATTCTTCATTCGCAGAGATGCGTTCGGGGAGGTATCGCGGTACTTGCATGGGTTGGAACTGGGAACGCCGATTGAAATCAGGGGTCCCCGGATAGAATGTGAAATTTCGAAGGATACGCGACAGATTATCTTCATTGCTGGGGGGACAGGAATCGCACCTGCTCTCCAAGCCGGACACACGCTTCTTCGCCGGGCCAATTCAACCAACAAGCCTCAGATACACATTCTTTGGGCGAATCGCCGTCGCGAGGACTGTGCTGGAGGAGTTAGCGATACGATGGGAGCAGAGCAGTCTCAGACATCTCCATGGTACACGAGAATCTTCAACCGATCCCCTCCAACAACCGCTCCGACGCCGGTGACCGCCGCGGAGACCGCTCCCTCTCTTATGGTTCGAGAGATCGAGGCGCTGAAGTCGCAATACCCCGGACAGGTAACAGTGGACTATTATGTCGATGAAGAAAACCAGTTCATCGGAAAGGAGGCGATTCGGCGCGTTACGACTTCGGCATCCGAGTCATCGGGGAAGATGATCCTGGTGTCGGGGCCGGAAGGGTTCATCAGCTACATGGCTGGTCCAAAGCTTTGGGCCCAGGGGATGGAGCTGCAAGGGCCGGTTCAAGGGATTATTCGTGAACTGGAATTGAGGGACTGGACCGTGTGGAAGTTGTAGGTATAGACTGTACATTAGTGTACAATAGAATACAAAGCATGCCTATTACCCAAATAGGTAACTATGGCCGATGAGTCAGCCTCCGATTGCCGGCATAATGGCCGCGCTCTCATTCGTCCGCGATTCTCCCATTCCTTTTCTTTCTGGTATAAGGTCGAAAATCTTCCTCCTCTCCTTCTCCCTCGGCAGTTCCATTCTCCTCCACTGGACACCATGCAGTCCAGATTGATGTCGGCCTCCCGGCGATTGATGCCCGCGGGCAGGCGCTGGGCCTCCTCCACCCCCAGTATCCGCCGCTGGACCTCCCTGCGCTCTCCCATCGCCAGCGTCCCGCAACGCCGCACCTTCGCCTCCACCCGACTCGTCTACTCCCCGGATGTCTTCCCTTCGCAGTTGGAGGACCCTGCCTCCGCCGAAATCTTTTCCTCCCTGCAATCCTCGAAAGCCGTGCCGCAGACGTTGACGGAGAAAATCGTCCAGAAATACGCCGTGGGCTTGCCGCAGGGCAAGTTTGTCCAGGCCGGCGATTATGTGACCATTTCGCCTCATCGCTGCATGACTCACGATAACTCCTGGCCTGTTGCCCTCAAATTCATGTCCATTGGAGCAACCAAGTTGCACAACCCCGACCAGATCGTGATGACTCTGGACCACGATGTCCAGAACAAGTCAGAGAAGAACCTCCAGAAGTACCGTCAGATCGAGGAGTTCGCGAAACACCATGGAGTAGAGTTCTACCCCGCTGGAAGAGGTATTGGACATCAGATCATGGTGGAAGAGGGATTCGCCTGGCCAGGCACACTGGTTGTTGCTTCGGACAGCCACAGCAATATGTATGGTGGCATTGGCTGCCTTGGTGCGTATAGTTGCGGTTGCTATAGTGGAAGCGTGCATTGAATGCTGACCTCGGTCTAGGTACCCCGGTTGTGAGAACGGACGCCGCCTCTCTTTGGTCGACAAGTCAGACTTGGTGGCAGATTCCTCCTGTGGCGAAGATCACCTTGACCGGTGTCTTGCCTGCGGGTGTCACTGGCAAGGATATCATCGTTGCTCTCTGCGGTCTCTTTGACAAGGACAATGTGTTGAACCATGCGCTGGAATTCACCGGCTCGGAGGAAACCATGTGGAGTCTGTCGGTGGATGACCGCCTGACCATCGCCAACATGACCACCGAATGGGGTGCCCTGAGTGGACTGTTCCCGATCGACAACACCCTCAAGGGATGGCTCCGGGGCAAGGCTACCACAGCCGCCATGGGATTGGCCGATGGTCCCTTCAAGTCCCTGGCTGCTAAGCACTTCACGCACGAGGCCCTGGAAGAGCTGTTTGCCAACCCCTTGGCGGCCGACAAGGGCGCCAAATATGCCAAGGAATACTTCCTCGACCTTAGTACTCTGTCTCCCTATGTCGCAGGACCCAACTCCGTCAAAGTCGCCACCCCATTGAAGGAGCTGGAGGCTCAGAATATCAAGGTTGACAAGGCCTACCTCCTGTCCTGCACCAACTCGCGTGCCTCCGACATCGCTGCCGCTGCGCGCGTCTTCCGGGAAGCCGCAGAGAAGAATGGTGGCAAGGTGCCCAAGATCGCTGACGGCGTCAAATTCTACCTGGCTGCTGCGTCCTTGCCCGAACAAGCCGCCGCTGAAGGTGCGGGTGACTGGCAGATCCTGATGGAAGCGGGTGCCACCCCTCTTCCCGCTGGATGCGGTACCTGCATTGGTCTGGGAGAAGGTTTGCTGGAGCCGAATGAAGTTGGTATCTCCGCCAGCAACCGGAACTTCAAGGGCCGCATGGGCTCTGTGGAAGCGAAAGCGTACCTGGGAAGTCCGGAGGTCGTCGCCGCGAGCGCTCTGAACGGCAAGCTCAGCGGTCCTGGCTGGTATCAGACTCCCGAGGGCTGGAACGGAGTTGTCTATGGTGAAGGCGACGGCATCCGCGAGGAAGACCGCATGCTTACGGCCGAGCAAGCTTTGGAGAAGGTTATCGGCCAACTCGACGAGCTTGTTATGGACGGTGAGAAGCGGTTCGCCCCGGAGGAGAGCTCTCCTTCTACCGAGGCCGCCACTGAGTTGTACCCCGGATTCCCCGAGCGCGTCTCTGGTGAGATCGTTTTCTGCGATGCAGACAACGTGAACACGGACGGTATCTACCCCGGTGCCTATACATATCAAGACAACGTCTCCGAGGAGAAGATGGCTGAAGTCTGCATGTCGAACTACGACTCCAAGTTCTCGACCATCGCCAAGGAGGGCGACATCCTGGTTAGCGGCTTCAACTTTGGTTGTGGCAGCTCGCGCGAACAGGCCGCCACCGCAATCCTGGCTAAGAAGATCCCACTGGTGGTCTCTGGCAGTTTCGGCAACATTTTCTCGCGGAACAGCATCAACAACGCTCTGATGGGTCTGGAAGTGCCCCGCCTGATCAGCCGTCTCCGCGAGACCTTTGCTGGAGACGCGAAGGTCCCTACCCGTCGGACTGGCTGGACGCTCACCTGGGACGTGCGTAAAAGTCAGATCGAGGTCCAAGAAGGCGAGAATGGGCCCAAGTGGACCCAGAAGGTGGGAGAGCTCCCGCCGAACGTGCAGGAGATCATCGCCAAAGGTGGGCTGGAGAAGTGGGTTAAGAGCGCCATCGGAGCTTGAGATGTGTGAACTATGAACTTGCCGAGTACTCTTGTTCGGCCCTGACCTTGTTATTATACCCGAGCATTTGTCTTCTGCGTCTATGAATTGGAGGCTGGATGGTGTTGTTGACTGTATAACCATGGGACGTGTTTTTCTGGTTTTGATTGGACAAAAAGCTATTCCGATTGTATAGATGTCTCTATAGAAGTTCTTCTTTTGGATTTCACTACTATTTGGAGCCGTATGCAAGCCAAAGTGGCTGTGTCCTGATGCCGCCAATCTCACTCAAGGTGGTAGGCTTAGCTCGCTGCTAGCTCTCGGGCCTAATCGTATCGCGCAATGATCTGGCGATGATTTGCTTGCGGCTGTGTTGCATGCTTCAGCCCCTGGCCCCTCTTCAACTCTCTCATTAATCAGGATGATGCCTCTGGCTGACTGTTTGGAGGTTGGACTTCCAACTCTCCTACAGCTTGCTGTTCGCTGTCTTGGTATCTCGTACTCCCAGGACTGTGCGCCCTGCACCCGAGGCCGACACATAACACCATTGAACTACTTGCATCAATTGTATACAGCATCTCGGAGAAAATCTATCACCAGGCACTATAGTGCCTGCGACTTACGCCATGGACCCGGTCTCTGCGTTCGGGGTGGTCTCTGGTGCTTTTCAGGTTGCTCAAATTATCACCCAGACCGCCGCAGGACTGTGGTCCCTGCGCGAAAAATACGCCCATGCCGACCTTACGATCCGGTCGCTCGTGGGCGAGTTGACCACGATCAAGTCCGCGATTACTCAATTGGACGATTGGGCGCGGTTGCAAAACACCCGGTCAACAGCCGTAACAGCAGAATACACCGAGTACGATGAAGGACTAAACGTCGCGCTGGACGGGTGTCGCGTCGTCATGGACGTTCTCTCCGAGGAGGTTGCCTCCCTCACGCGGGGCGCCGCCGGGACCGACGCTCATATCGGCTTCGGGACTCGTCTCAGGGCGATGTGGAACGAGGACGTGATGAGAGGGCATCAGGAGAGACTGCGGTCACAGGTTGTTGCGCTTCAGCTCTTGCTGCAGGCTTGTCAATGGTGAGATGTCGCGGACTACCTGCATACTACGTATGTCTCGATGTGTCCATGTGCTAAAAAGATGCAGTCGCTCCTCGTCGGAGCAAATCGAGTTGCTACGGAGAGTAGAGAACCGCCGTATCATTCGGAAGGTCGCCGAGGATGCAGAGACACTCCGGTCATCGAGTAGCTATGCCGGCTCCCGCGCTGATACCGCCAGCCTCAGTCATCGGCAGTTCTCTGTGGGGGAGACAGGCTTCGATTTCGATACGGCTGCAACAGTGTCTGCGCCGTATCGTCGCGCACTGCAGCCGTGGTCGAGAACCGAGACGCTATCCACTATGAGCAGCGGCAATGACAGCCGGGAGACCGATGAGGGATACGGCAGTATGTCCCAGGCAGATAGCCTAATCCTGCCAATCCGTCCACACGAGTCTATTGGAAACAGCCACAGCAGAAGCGTAACGCTCCGACCGAACCGCACCCAGCCAAATCAGAGCGGCATGCGAAGGTGGAAGTCCGATTCCACGTCTTCTTCACAGCCTACACGCTCGGCGTCTAAACTAAGCCTGCGGTCAACCTGGCGGCCATGGCGGCGGTCCAATTCGACCAAATCAAACGCTCAACTCGTCCAACAAATCCCAACTGAAAATGTGGCTCCAGGCCGACGATCCAGCCGAAGAGATGTCACCACGAGCATCGACTTCGCTTCGCACGAGGGATCTTCTGCTCCGGCCATCGTCAAAGCAGCACAATCCGGCTCTCGAGAGGACGTTGAGCGTCTCATTACGAGTGGCCACGAAATCGAAGCCCGTCACATTCATTCCCGGAGGAATGCACTGCTGGTGGCATCGCATTGTGGAAATGAGGCCGTGGTCGACCTCCTGATCCAGAGAAATGCGCGCCTGGGTGCTACCGATGCGTCAGGCTGGACAGCGCTTCATCTTGCCGCCTCCCGTGGTCACTGCGGTGTGCTTGAGCTGCTTCTGCTTGAGGACGTGGATATCGAGGCCAGGACTTCGAACGGCCGAACTGCTCTCTGGATTGCGGCCGAACAGGGCCAAGTTGAAGCAGCACGCATATTGATCGAGAATAACGCAAAGGTCAACACACGAGCAGACAATCATATGACACCGTTGCATGTTGCAGCCAAGGTCGGTGATGTTGCGACGATTGAGCTCCTCGTCTCATCCAAGGCAGATGTCGAGGCGAAAGATGGCCTGATGATGACCGCCCTCCATTATGCTTGCGAAGGAGGCCATCTGGGGGCAATTAAAGCCCTGATCAACAACAAAGCCAAAGTTGACACGTTAGGAAGCGATCGCAGGACGCCGCTGATCTGCGCCGCAGCGATGGGCCAGCTGGAGGCCACGCAGTTGCTTCTCAAGATGAAGGCATCCGAGCGACATGCTGACGATGCTTCTATGACCGCATTGCATTGGGCCGCCTTTAACGGGCATACGGAGGTTGTAGAAATCCTCAGCCAGAAGAAAGAGGCTCTGACCATCACAAATATCGCCGGACGCACGGCTCTACATCTCGCAGTCATGAGATCGCGCTTTGCCGTTGTGGAACTACTCCTCCGCAAAAGAACTCTGGTCGAAGCTCGGTGTCTTTCTGGGATGGCCGCCTTGCACTACGCATGCATGGCCAACAACATCGAGATCGCGAGACTGCTCCTCCTATCAGGTGCCGACATAGAAGTACCGACGGAAGATCAGCGAAGGCCTATTCACATCGCCGCAGCGTGCGGGTCAATGGCCGTGCTCGACCTGCTTTGCGACAAGGGCGCATCGTTAGAAGCACGAGATGCCTTGGGAGATCGGGCTCTCTGCACAGCATGTCGACACGGCCACGCAGCCGCAGTTCAGAACCTGCTGAATCGGGGCTCTCCGCTGTATTTACAGTACGATACTCGAAATAAGGAGGACTCGCCGCTATGTCTCGCTGCAATGGGCGGACATCTTCCCGTCGTCAACATCCTCCTTGAGAGAGGGGCATCGGTGCTCAAACGAGACGAAATGGGATGGCCTCCACACTACCATGCCATGCACCACGGACACCCAGACGTCCTCCGTCTTTTACTAGCACGCAACCCGGCAGAAGTAACTGCAGGAGCCCTCAATCTGAGCCAGACAATGTCGAGGGTCGGCTTCTCACCAGTAAACATTTCCGAAGCCCGAAAGCGAGAGGTGCATGAGGTGTTGAGTCAGATGCAGCGTTCCTCAGCTGAGACAGGGGAAGCAGCTCCGCCCCTGTCATCTCCCTGGGCCAACGACCGAGAAATTTCCCAACGAAGGCCCGAGTACATCACTGTCCCTCGGAGCCTCCAAGACATACCGGAGACGAACAGCACACGGCACACTCCACGCCCCGACTATCCAAGCGGGCCCCAGGAATTGCCAGGCACGCTGGAGCAGGGACTCCCGCCTAGCAGATCCCGGACGCCGGAACATTTGAGTGGGGGGGTCGATTCGAATGCAGCGACTCATGCCGAGGGCAGCATCGTGCCCGCTCCAGCGTCGAGGGAAGGCTCCTCCGCCTGGACAAATCAGATTGTAATGCCGCGGGCGCAGCGTCCAGGGCTAGCAGGCCCCGTAAGACAAGCTCCTAACAACCCCCTTCCGAGTACAGTTTTAGATCTTCTAGAAGAGTGGTCCCAGCAACGATCCACCGTATCGCCTGTCTCCGTGGCGCCTGGTCAACCACCGGCTCCTGTGGAGAATCCACCAGTCGGGTTGAGCAAGTTGAAGAACAGTCCTGAAAGGCTACCGATAGCAGACAGAGCGGACGAGTCATCCGACACTGACTCGATGACTTCTGTACATACGGCCCCTGAGGAGGCCCCTGTTGATATGAAATTATAGTGCTGTACGAGGATAGCTCTGATACCTTGAGAACGGATATGATACCGAATAGAATTGTTACTGGTTGTCGCAACGACGGGACCTATGCTATAGCATAGGATCTTCATATAAGCTTGGCTGCGTAGACGCAGAATGTACTTGCAGACGGTGACTAGGAGACGTCATCTAGATCGGGTCAATGAGTTTGGGTCATTCTACCAGCCACGACCCTTTTACATTCGGCCAATATGGCCGCTTGTCTACCGACCTCGGCCAAACTACCCACCACCTTCTGGTTACCTTTGACAAACCCATACAGGGCATACGGAATGCCCGCCTCGCGGCAGAACTCTAGCACCAACTTCTGCACCCGCCGCAGATTATGCCGGGGCACGCGCGGGAACAGATGGTGGATGGCCTGGAACTGCAGGCCGCCGTGCACCCAGTCCAACCACTCAGGGCAGTCGACGTCCATGGTCGTGCGGAGCATGCGCTGGGGAAACGACTCGTTGGGTCCCAGATCAGCGGTCGACATGGCAAAGTGTGAGAGGGTAAACTGGACATGCAGCGGCATGGTCACGGCGTGGCTGATCAGCACATACAGGACGCGGGTGGCTGGGGTGGGCAGCGAGCGGTAAACGATGCCGTAGCCGAACCACGCCCAGAAGACGAGATTGCCGGCGATCTCGAAATAGCGGTGCCACCATGCCAGGCCCTTGCGGGGGCCCTGGCCGTAGGCGAGGAACAGCCACGACTGCACGTACAGGTTGAAGCGGCCGAACATCAGGATCAGGTAGTAGAGGTACGCTTGGTAGGGCACGAGGCGCTGGGCCAGCTCTGTGTACGGCATCAGGCGCTCGTGGTAGGTGGAGAAGAGACTTCCGAGAAAGCGGTGGTTGACGGCTAGGAAGGGGAGATGCTGGTTGTCGGGGTCGTGTTCGGGGGCATTCGTGACGAGGTGGTGGACGTTGTGCGTGCGTTTCCACCAGCCCAGGGACAGGCCGCCGATGGGGGGCGGCGATGATCATGCCGATGAGGTTGTCGATGAAGAAATCGTGCGTAATGGCCATGTGGGCGGCGTCGTGCGCGGCAAAGACCATCTGCGACCAGAACCATCCGAGGAAGACGGCGCTGGTGCAGTACCATTTGATGTGAAGAAAGGCGAGCATGATGGCGAAGAGAAGAGCGCAGCGGCCGAATTCCCACAGGTACGCGGTGTAGTTGCATTCGTAGAGTCCTTCGGCGTGGATCTGCTCGTACAGACGACGGTATCTCTCGATGATCTGGGACTGGGTCGACGCGTCCAGGGAGGGATACCGATCGAGGGTCAAGCGCATTTCCTCTTTGGTTTGGGCGTTCAGAAAAGCGAGCTCTTCGGGACCGTTGCGCTCAGGGGAGAGCTGGGGCGTAAGCTCGATGACTTCCTTCGCGCCCTCGCGATGGGGGCCGCCCTGGATGGGAGGCAGCAGATTCCGCCAGCGGCCTTCAATCCTCCCGATCTGGTAGCGGTCGATTTGCTGGCGTGTTTCAGCAGAATGCATTCTATATTACTTTCATCAGCTACGGTGAAGGGGTCTTGTGAGCCATAAGCACATACACCGTAAACTCGTTGGTTGCATCCTTGCCGATGAAATGCTGTATGGGCTTGTAGCCGCCCGGGTGGTAGGGAAGCCATGCGTCGAGGCGTAGCACCTTCTGATCTATAATGACGATGGACTGGCCATTGGCGATCAGGGCTTCAATCTCGCCATGAGAAAGCACCCGAGTCTTTTCTCCAGCTGCATCGGGGGGGAGAGTCATGGTGGGAGTGCGGATGTGCAAGAGAGATGCCTAGAGTCGAAGTTCAAGACTGGCAAAAGAAGCCGAATAAGCCGAGTAGTGGAGTACATCGCACCACATTCGAGTAATGCGGCTGTGCGTACGCGTATGTTTCGGATTGATATTAATCTAAGTAGTATGATATTCATAGTCTAGCATTACACTACCCAGTGTATACAATCCTCCATGTTATCATTATCAAAAGTTGGAGACATGGGGTTGGTAGCCGAGTTGGAGACGTTGAGTAGACGGACAGAACTCCGCGGTACAGTATATATAGTGTCGGGTGGATGTATATCACCCGCCCTCATCATTCTAATCAGCTTGTCTTCCCCGAATCGTACCATCACCATCCATACACCATGGGTAGCGTCCAGAAGTGGGAGGAAATTGTCACCCGCAAACAGGCCCTCCGTGACCAGGCCTTGAAGCCATATATGGTCTCCGATCTGGATGAGCGTCCGCCCCAAATCCACAATGTTCACGAACGCTCTTGTGTCCGTGATGATCCAATCATCCAAGAAATCACAGATATTGACAATGTCCTGGCCCTCCTCGGTCAGCTAAAATCCGGGAAGTACAGCGCCGAACAGGTGGTTCAGGCCTATATCCGCAGGTGTGTATGGCGATGACTGCAGTCCGGCAATATACGAAGCTAACCCTGTCTCACGTAGAGCTGTAGTAGCTCATCAACTGGTATGTCAACTTTTCCCCCTAAATAACAAAGCACGCATTCGATCTAACTCTCATCAGACCAACGCAATTACAGAAGTAGTCTTCGACGATGCATTGGCTCAGGCCCGAGAGCTGGACCGTGTGTTCAAGGAGACCGGCCAGCTCAAAGGGCCGCTCCATGGGATTCCAATCACAGTCAAAGACCAGTTCAGCATCAAGGGTGTAGACAGCACACTGGGCTACGTCGGTCGGTCGTTCTCTCCTGCTACGGAGGATGCGGTGATCGTGCAGATGCTCAAGGAGATGGGCGCGGTGATCCTACTCAAGACGAATCTGCCACAGAGTATCATGGTCCGTATATCCGCAACCTAGCCTGTCCAAAGTGCGACTGTACTAACTCTGTCAGTGGGCGGAGACCGACAATCCCCTCTGGGGGCGAACGGTAAATCCTCGCAACCCTGATTTCACTCCGGGCGGATCTACTGGTGGCGAGGGAGCTCTACTAGCCCTTCACGGCTCTCTGTTTGGCCTGGGAACAGACATTGGCGGAAGCGTCCGAATCCCGCAGTGCATCAACGGGCTGTACGGTTTCAAGCCAAGTGTAAGTTCCTTCCTGCAACCCTACGCAGTATTCTCTCTGACCATCTATAGAGCAGCCGATATCCATACCTCGGGGTGCCAGTATCCACAGAAGGACAAGAGCACGTCCCATCTTCCGTCGGTCCCATGGCTCGCGACCTGTCATCTCTCTGCTATGTAAGCCGTCTAGTCGCCAACGCAAAACCATGGGAGTTCGATCCCAAATGCACCCCTCTCCCCTGGAATGAGGTCGCCTTCCAGGAGGTCCAGAGTAGACCCCTGGTAATCGGACTGATTCTCGACGACGGTGTAGTCAAGGTGCATCCTCCTATCGAACGCGCGCTGCGGGATCTAGCATCCAAGCTTGAGAAACAGGGCCACGAGGTCATCACATGGGATACGTCGGACCACCATGAATGCATCAAGCTCATGGACCAGTACTACACCGCTGACGGGTGCGAGGATATCCTCCGTGATGTCGGCGCGGCGGGAGAGCCGATGATTCCCCATGTCCAGGCGCTGGTTGACCGTGCGAAGGCCATCTCTGTCTACGAGTACTGGCAGCTCAACAAGGGGAAGGTCGCACTACAGAGGAAGTACCTTAACAAGTGGAATGCCACGCGGTCTCCTTCCGGTAAGCCGGTTGATGTGCTTCTGTCTCCCACGACGCCGCACCCTGCTATCCCGCACCGCGCGCTCCGATGGGTGGGCTACACTAAGATCTGGAACCTGCTCGATTACCCGGCTGTCACCTTTCCCGTCGACGAGGTCAGAGAAGATGTAGATCGGCTGCCAGCGGGAGGTTATCAGCCGCGCAATGAGCTGGATGCATGGAACTGGAGTCTTTACGAGCCAAAGACAATGAATGGGCATCCGATTAACCTACAGGTCATTGGGAAGAAGCTCAATGAGGAGAAGGTGCTGGGGGCGGCGACCATTATCGAGAAGATCTGGAGGGAGAAGTCATAGACCATGGTGTGCAGTGGGCCTGTTAGCGCTTGTGCAGAACAGTCCGCAATGTCATAGAGTCTGTTGAATAGTTCGAATAGCCGGCAAAGCATCCTCTACTGATCGATGCCCTCCATGTATACAGGTACACTGTATACCCCCACTCTTGTCCTCTCCAACTCTGTTGGAGACATACATTTGGAGTAAGCCAAAGACCACGAGTAAGGTACCGTATCGACCGACGAATAACTATTGATATGTCGGACTATCCAGATAAGACGATCAACCCCAGGATTCCGTAAGTTGGAGGTACCTATCTACGGAGATATTTCCCATAGGTATCTTATCGTTCCCTCGCCCCCTCCCCTCACTCCCCACCCTTAAGCACTTGGCCGGGTCATATAAGTCCTTAGGCGTTCGCATTAAGCATTCATCTTACCCATATCTCACCCATATGTAAATATTTTGATAACTCACAGAATACCAGTGACCTACACCATCAAAAATGGGCAAAAAGCGCGTTCTAGTCAGCTACGGCGTCGACATCGACGCCGTCGCCGGTTGGCTGGGCTCCTATGGCGGCGAAGACAGCGTCAACGACATCAGTCGAGGTACGCCGCCTCTCTACAGTAGAATATACTCTACTACATCAATACTGACTCTGACAGGCCTCTTCGCCGGCCACATCGGCACAATGCGGTTGCTCAAAATGTTCGAAAAGTACAACATCAAAGCAACCTGGTTTATCCCGGGCCACTCGCTCGAGACCTTCCCGGACGAGTGCGCCAAAATCCGGGACGCGGGCCACGAGATCGGGCTGCACGGGTACAGCCACGAGAACCCCACGGACATGAGCATCCAGCAGCAGAAGGACATCCTCGACAAGACGTACCAGCTGCTGACGGACTTCTGCGGCAAGCCGCCGCGGGGCACGGTGGCGCCGTGGTGGGAGACGAGCAAGGAGATGACGGAGCTGCTGCTCGAGTACGGCATCGAGTACGACCATTCCATGTCGCACCACGACTGCCAGATGTACTGGCTGCGCACGGGGGATAGTTGGACCAAGATTGATTACACCCAGGATGCGCATACGTGGATGAAGCCGCTGGAGCGGGGAGAGGAGACGGGGCTGGTGGAGATCCCTGGGAACTGGTACATTGATGATCTGCCGCCTATGATGTTTATCAAGAACTCGGCCAATAGTCATGGCTGGGTGAATCCGAGAGATATTGAGGATATCTGGAAGGTGGGTTATCGCTCTGGAGTGGCCATTGGTGTTGGGCGTGGCTGATGTCGCTTAGGATCACTTTGACTACTTCTACCGGGAGTACGACGAGTTCGTGTTTCCCATGACTATCCATCCGGATGTCTCAGGACGGCCACATGTGCTTCTCATGCATGAGCGGTAAGTTCCAGGCTGGTGTGCGTATAGGTCGATACTGATGTTCTAGGATCATTGAGCATATCAACAAACACGAAGGGGTGGAATGGGTAACCATGGAGCAGATGTGTGACGATTTCAAGAGCAAGAACAGTCCCCCAGTCGGAGCAAAAATGCCTAAAAAGAAGTGATGAATGAAATGTTTGGAGCAGATCTTCTATGAGTAGCTTGAGATTTCATGTCATTAATCTAAGTGAACTTTCATGGGCCTTACTGGCCGAACGCCGAAACACCAAGCAATCCCACGTAACAATGTCTCTATTATACACCCTAGGCTCGAGGCGGCTCAAAGAGCTGGGGCTTCATGTTGATCTTGCAAAGCTTTGATACGCACCCACTCAATTGGAGCAGAGACTGTACCCCGTCCAGAATCCGCATGTGCGTGAAGCCGATTTCCCGGATGAATTCGAGTTTCGAGTGTTCCGACAGCGTTGGGATAGTCTTTGTAACGCGGAACATGGTACTGATGATGTCGTGCGAGGAGTAGCCAAGAGTCCTAGACGCAATTAGTGTGTTGCGCGAGGTATATCAGCAGCGACGGCACATACCACAGCTCATTCAGTGTCTCCAGAGCAGCATCCACCTTGCCTTCCCAGCAAGCCTTAATCATCGCCTGCACCTTGACGGGATGCGGGCTGTCCACAACACGGAAGACATTGTCACCACTGACGAAGCCAAATCCGGACCAGGTGCTCTGCAGATTGTTGATCGCCTGACGCATATCACCCTCTGCGCTGAAGACCAAAGCCGCGAGCCCATCTTCGGTGTGTTCCACTTTTTCGGCGTCGCAAACCTGCTTCAGACGCTTGACGACTTGTCCGTCGGTTAACCGTGCGTAGCGAAGGATCGCACATCGGGACTGGAGAGGTTCGATGATCTTGTTGGATTGATTGCAGGCGAATGCAAATCGCGTGGTGGATGAATAGATTTCCATGGTGCGTCTCAGCGCCTGCTGCGCACCGGGGGTCATACTAAACAACGTTAGCTATTAGTATGTATGGAGAGCCACATTGTTGGGAATAGCACTCACCTGTCGGCTTCATCGAGGATGATAATCTTATGACGTCCAGGTGGGAGGGTCACTTTCTTCTGAGCGAAGCCCTTGATGCGGTTTCGCACGACATCGATACCTGAAAGGTCAGCAAGCTGTTCGTCCGCCTCCCTGACCATCAAGACGCAATACCTCTTTCATCACTGGCATTCAATTCTAGAACTGCATCCTTGTATGCATCTCCCAACAGCTGTCTGGCGAGGCACAAGATAGAAGTTGTTTTTCCAATACCCGGCATGCCCGAGATGATCACATGCGGCATGTTGCCATCTTTGGCGATAATCTTCAGACGCTCGATCGTTTCTGTGTTTCCGACGACATCATCGAGGAAAACGGGGCGGTACTTTTCGACCCTAAAGATAGGTACTGGTTAGATGGAGCCGAACAAATCTCAAGCTAGGCACATACCAGGGGAGTTCGTAGTCGGGAGGAGCACCGGCGGTGACGGCCTTGAGGCCATTGCGCGACGCACTGGTGGAGGATTCGGCTTGGACCATTATGTGTTCCGTCGTTGTGGTGAGAATCGGTGGTCGTGGTTGATCGTAAGAAAGCTCGGTGGTGGAAGACGCGAAAGTCGGAGCGCGCAGACGCGTCGGATGGCCGAATCGGGAATAATTCGAGCCCTTAGTAAGACCACCCTCAGTACTGTTAAGTGTCGGACTTAAAACACCTGTGTGTAATAGAGACTGGTGTTGAAGGATTTCTAGTACTGGAATGTCCTCAATATCCGACAGAAGAGTTGCTGGAATTGACGTTGTTGAATTTGCTGCGATCAGCTCTATGCGCATCGCGTGACTCGTGATTGGCGAATCCGCAAGCAACATCCCCATTTCTCCATCTTCATCTTCACTTCTCCAACTACCTCACGCCCTGCATCGCCCTTAGGGGTTCATCCCTATGCCCACAACTTATTCTTAATTCTCCTTATCACCCCTCGCTCGTCCTGTGGATTTCTCCCGATCAGAAAATCTCAGTATCGCATCCCCCGTCCTCCTTACATGCTACGATACCGCTGTCTTCTCCGGTCCACCCAGTCCTCTCGATGCATATACCGACTTATCTTCTGCTGACTCCATTCGCCCGGTGATTGAACGCTGTCGCCAACATGGGAACCACCTCTGTCCGTCGGAACCTCTTCCACCACCATCTCAGTCGCCGCCCCGTATCAACCGCACCCCCCAATCCCTCCATGCCGAGCGGTACAGCCAGCGGAGTCTCCAGCCTTTCCTCGCATATTATAGCTCCTGCTGCGAACGAGTCCACCTCCTCGTTAAGCTCGGGGTCCGGAGATACGGGAGAGATCGTGGTCCGGGACAAGAACGGCGGCTATAAGCTCGACGTCCCCGTTCTTCCACCCGTCGTTGGAGAAGACGGCGATGAGATGGAGGGTGTGGAGGGCAGCGGTGCTACTGGAGGCTCCGCTGCTACAGGGGCGGACTCTACGGCGCAGACGGAAATCAGTGGCCGTGAGAAAGAAAGTGCGTGTCCTTCTTACTGCTTTCAGTACCAGCCTGACCTGAATGGTGTAGAGATCGAGGCGAGCCTCGTAGAAATGATGTGCCGAAATCGGAATAGGCAGTTGAGCAATGAGCCAGCTGGTGAGTTGCATTCTCCTCTCATTGGGGAGTGCCGTATGATAGGGTTTTGGCTGATTGCGATAGAAATCCTCGGTCTCATCCAGCAGAGCCTCCAGAACAAAGTGGCGGCATTGGACGAGGATAATTGGATGTACGAGCCAGAGTCCAATTCACGAGTTTGATGCAAATTATCAAGCTTTCATGCATGCTATTCATTACATACTGCAGGGCTATCTCTATCTGCATGTGCCCTCTCGAATCACGCTCATGTCCTGCCGTCTCCTAATCAAGCTCCGGGTTTGACGGAGGTGCTTCGACTTTCCTTGACGGTCCCCGACTCTGCGGTCCCCTTCCACCTGCGCCACCCTGGCCGCCAAACAACATGCTACCCATCATATCCAGCAGAGGGTTCCCTTGTCTGGGTATCTTGATAGCGAAATACTGTTCGCCAATCTGCGCCAAGGCATCGTCCCAGAGCCCGACCTCTTGAATCTGCGACGCATACTGCGCCGTCAATTGCTTGAAGAGGTCCGCACTGCCACGCTGGATGGTGAGGAGCAGCATGCTTATGAAATTCAGTAGAGGCAGTGCTGGGAACACGCGCACGTCTGCACTGGCGCTGCTGACGACTTGGGAGCCGAGGGATGGATTCGAGGAGGACAGTCGCGACGTAAAAATGAGAAAGGCCTTGTTGGCACTGCGAATGTTGCCAGTGAGGAGGTATGGGAAGACAGCGCGTGAGGCGTAGATGGCCGCCGTGTGCGGCTCGTCATTCGTGTACCACTCATATTCCAGTTTCGCCAGCGTCTCGGCGGACTCGGATGTACCAAGGATGAGATGCTTCTCGGCATCATATGGCTCATGGTCTAGAAAAACCAGTCAGAGAAACTTCATCGATCGTATTTAGTATTCCAACGTGTTTCGTACCTTCGGCGTAGACTGTTCCAGCGGCATGGTGCAAGTCAGGGTCACCCCTCTCCAAGGGACCGCATCGTCCGCTCCAAGCAATCATTTCCTGAATATACCGTCTCCGTGTAGGCTCCTCGGGAGGGAATTCGTGAAGAAGTTCGATGAGGCGCTCTAGGTCCCGGTGATTAGCATGGAACTCATAGGTGTCTTTGCCGGGAGCTCACTCACTCTTCCGAGAACGGTCTTCCGCATCATCTTTTCCACTGATCTCCCAGCCGGACTTGTTATAAACCTCAAGAACCAGCATGATCGCGAGGTCGCCTCCACTCGCCGAAGCGCCCTGCTGGGAACCAGCTCTCAGCAACGCGGTAGCCCCTCCAGCCAGCAGTTCCGCCGCCGCATCGTAGTTCGCCTGCTTGATGTACCGCGCGGCAATGACCCGGAGTTGCTGGTGAGCTTCGTAGTAGGCCCCGGAAGCGATCCTACAAGTACACCATCGTTAGCCATCGTCCTGTCTGCTCACAGCGGAACAATCGGCGGAGAGGTACTTTTCGCGCTGTCGGGCAATCGTCTTGTCGATCCGAGAGGTCATGTTGATACGTGTCCACCGCAGCAGCTGCTGGTCAGCTAAGGAATATTCGGAAGAAATGGACAGTTTGCGACAGAGGAGAACGCGGCGAAGGGAACAGTTTGAGCTGGTAGTTGGGAGACTTTTGGTGGGGGGCGGGTTCGGGTCTAAAGTAGTATAGCTCGGTGGGAGCAGACAAGCAATCCCTCCCCTTCCTCTCCAACCGCCTTTTCCACATCTACTGTACTACCTTACTATATATACATGGAACACACATCCAACGTGATACCAGCCATTTCGCAGGTCGCCATCACATCTCTTCCTTCGTCTTTTGGGCTGGCCTATTGAACCCGGGGTTGTCCGCCCTTGTCACTTCATCCGCGCATCACGAATACAGGGCGTAACATACATTACCTAGCAATCTATCAGAGCTTGCTACACCTCTCCCATCCGCGCTGGCCCATGCAACGGCCGTGCTACAGCAAAAATGAACCGCACTGGCTTTGACATCCAGCCCATTGGTCGCTTCTACGCTTCCAATACCACCATCCGACGCCCAAAGGTGGGTGTAACTTGCGCTTCCTCTATGACGGAACCCGAACATAACCGTCGTCCAGGAGATCGCTTGCTTTTCATACGATGATGAACACAGCTTTCATCTGGGGGACTCGTCCCTGCGGTACTACTACCCACCTAAGCTTCCCGCAGACCTGAACCAGGGCTTTGATGAATTCCAGAAGCTCGATGATAGCGGAGACGAACATCTAGATGCTCTTCTGGAAACCATCATGGCGCTGGAAAAGGAGACGGGGAAGACGTCTGACGCCGACATCATCACCTGGCGAGGCATGATGACCAAGGTAAGGACATTGATGGTGAATGATACCTGCGCATATCGCTAATGGTGAGGGCTAGATCCTAGCAGCGCCTTTTGATCATATGAATGGGTATTTTTTTCGTGAGAATGAATCTTTGAGGTATCTATTAATCCGCGGATAGGTTCGAAATGAATGCCACCTGTTTTCAGGTAAGTTTGCAGTTTGCGCAATTGTTTCATGACTCCATGTTCACACACTCACCTCCTCCAGGGAACCATGTGGGTATAGACCGACCATGTCAAGACGAGCTTATGTTGACGGTTCTAGCTTCATTGAGGAAAACAACAGCTACAAGAACCAACAGAAGCAAATCCAGAAGAATCAGAGAATGCCTCCGGGCATGGCTTCCCAGGAACTAATGGCGTATTGGGGTCAGATCGTCCACCCTATTACTAATGGCATGGTTTTAACCAAACACTAGGCTACAAATTTGAGACTCTATCTGTCATCAATCAACCATGGGACCCAACTTCGCGGGAGGAGATCGAAGGCCGACCCGAGCTGGTCGTGAACAACAAAGCACAATACTGCTCAGTTGTACGAACTGGGATCGGTAGTACGAAGCTAATTATCGGTGGAGAAGTCGACGCCGGTACGTTGGAACTGTCTAAACCCATGGCGAAAAGTCGGTCTCGCAGCGGATACTAACGCTGGTTCACAGTTTGGGACTGCAAACCGGATCGCAAAGAGGACCCCATCCACTGGGTGGAGTTGAAGACCTCAGCGGAGATACGGAACGATAGAGACATGCTGAAGTATGAGCGGAAGCTCCTCAAGTTCTGGGCCCAATCTTTCCTCCTCGGCGTGCCTAAGATCATTGTCGGTTTCCGTGACCAATATGGCATTGTTCATCGCCTAGAGGAACTGGAGACGGCCAGCATACCAGTCAAGGTCAAGAAGGCCGGTAAAGGAACTTGGGATGGGAACATCTGCATCAACTTTGCCGCTGCCTTCCTTGAATGTATGGATCAGTACATTCCTTCCAATTTCCATAAACTAATCTTATATGTAGGGCTGAAATCCGTGATCCAGGGAGAAGGAACGTGGAGGATACGAAAACTTGAGAAATCCTCCGTCATTGAGGTTTTCAAAATTGAGGAAACCGGTACAGGGGATATTATTTCACCAGCTTTCGCGGCCTGGCGATCAACAACAACATGAGGTTCTCCTTAAAGTATGGAATGGTCTATTGCCTGCCTTTCTAGCGTGACCCGAGGCCAGTTCAGCGTTTGGTGAAGCGTGTCTGTGTCCTGTTCGAGGAACTCCTTGATGTATCTTATTATGCAGGCCGCGGCATTTGAAGTGGAGGTCACGGTTCTTCGATGTCATCTTGAGATGCCATCTTCCGGTGAAATTTTCGAATCTTGGAAGCTCCGGCTGCTACTTCAGGCATGGCTAACGCATGGCTTGGACTATGCATGCATACCGGGACTGAAAGAGACACGGCTCTCCTAAACTCCCAAGTGCTAGGCGGGTGACGGGTAAACCTCCGTCAGCGCTTCGATATACTTCCCCCCTGACCAAGCCTCGCTCGAAATGAGGGCTGTCTGCATTCCAGGATGCCAATCTATACGAGGCACTACCTACTGCTTCCTGGCTTAGATACATCTCAATCATTTCTACAATGCATTAGATGGGTATCAGCTCTATCCATTATACACACGATCCAGCGTGTGCCAAACTCCTGCTGTAATTATTCAACAAAATGTATCCAACAGTCTATTGCTCGCTCTGTTGGGCATTCTCCAATTCCTCCTGTCGTTTCCGCAGATACTCGTCGCGCTCGGCCTTCCTAGCTGCACCTTTGAGGGCCCTCTTATGGGCATGTCCATTGAGGTGTATATTCCATTGATCCTCGGTGGTCATGGTCTTCTTGCAAACTTCACAGGTAAAGCACTTTCCTTCGGAACTCCCGTTCCTCTGTTCTTGTGCTTCCCTCGCGCTCAGGGTCGTCCTCGCAAGCTCCGAAAGAGATTTAGGGTCTGGCGCAGGGTCGCCGTTTAGCAGGCACTGGACGACACGTTCGGAGGGTTCAGTAATACACTTCGTCCAGGCATCAACATTCGTACTGTCCATGACATAGAGGCGGTCTTTCATGCCAGTTTCTGCCAGCGCTGTCCACAACTTATTTCGGATCCATTTGACCTGGGAAACGGCGTATTGACGGGTTGCGGTCTTGACCGACTCAATGCAGGTTTTCCTGAGTGCATCCAACTCTGCTTCGCTTGATGTTCCCTTGTAGACTGCCTCAAAGTAAGGCGCCAGCTCCTTGAATCCAATGGAAACCCAGACGCCCCGAGTGCGGTCAACGGAAACGCCCTCCGCTTGTTTCTCCTGGAGATAATCCGACATGCGTTGCGCCTCCGTCATGAGACCCTGGTCAACCATTGCGTCCACGCGTTTTTCGAGTCGAGCTTTGAGCGTCTCCTTCTCCGAGTGGACCCAGAAAATCACCGTGGGGAAGCGTAGCTGGCCAGTTTCCGTGGACGAGTCGGGGTCGCTTGCAACGGTCTGTCGCTGGCGCTTTTGTTCAGCGTAGACTTCCGATGCCGGTCTTCCCGTCTGGAAGTAGATTTCAAGGGAGCGACGGATCTTTCGCGTCTCATTTGGGTGCCATCGATCCGCCATGACGGGGTCGACCTCTCTGAGTTTCTGCAGGACGACCTCGGGCGATGCGTTGAGGATGGGCCATTTGACTGCCGAGTCCTCCTCCTCATCGCTGGACTGGTTGTCCGCCATCCCATCTCCAACCAGCTGGTCCTTGAACAGAACAGTCTGCGTGTAGTAATGGGTTCCTCCCACCAGGATCGGGATCTTCCCCCTGCCATGTATATCCTTGATGATCCGGAGGCATTCGTTCTTGAATAGTCCTACTCGCCATGGCTCTTCGTGTAGGTCGATACAGCTAATCAGGTGATGCGGAATTCCATTTCGTTCCTCGATTGGGATCTGGTTCGTGATGATGGGGAGGCCGCGGTACATTTGCATTGCGTCGCCATTGATGATTTCACCATTGAAGCGTGTAGCCAATTCCACTGCGAGCTATCTACATCCGTCAGTAACAGATACACTGAGCAACCGCACGTCCGGAGCATATTACCTTGGACTTGCCGGTGCCCGTGGCACCGACGACTGCTATGAGGGGTTCCATCGGGCGTCGGAGAAAGGAAAAACACCGGAAGAGACTGCGCATGGAATGAAGTCGCAAAACAATATCACCATATTGATACTAAAGCCCCATGGATCCAGACATGCGACCAGATAGGACAGTTGGCAGCAGTCGGTGGAAGACCGAGGAATAATGCAAGACGGAGGAAGGGAAAAAATCGCGGAGGAAAATGAAGCCATTACCTCATCGGAGCTTATCTGATCTCATCGTTAAGAAACCCATTAAGCGTCGCATTTTCCCCGCCATCTTCCTTGGTGACTCACTGTTTGTCTGACAATCATATCTTCTCAACTTAACTTTCAATCTGATCCAGGAGTATCCTATTTTCCTGTCGAGAACGGTCGATTTCGCCCTCTCACCTCCCACAATGGCCTCTTCGGCGCCCTCAATCCAAGTAAAGAATCTCACATATGCATTCCAGGACGGGACTTCTGGATTGTCAAACGTGACTCTGGACGTACCCCCAGGAAGTCGTACCCTACTCATTGGAGGTATCTTCATGGCCAAGGCGCAAGCCCACCCTCATCAATACTAACACACGAACAGCCAATGGCGCGGGGAAAACGACGCTCCTACGACTCCTCGCCGGCAAACGCCTGGCGCCCAATGACACCATCTCCGTCGGCGGCAAAGACCCCTTCAAGGACGGCCTGGAAGGCGTGACGTATCTAGGCGTGGAGTGGGTTCTCAACAGCATCGTGCGAACGGACATCGACGTCCCGACGCTGCTCGCCTCAGTCGGCGGCAACGCCTACCCGGAGCGCCGGGACGAGCTCGTCGACATCCTAGACATCGACCTGAACTGGCGCATGCACGCCGTGTCGGACGGCGAACGGCGCCGTGTCCAGCTCGCCATGGGCCTCCTCCGGCCGTGGCAGGTTCTCCTTCTCGACGAGATCACCGTCGACCTCGACCTGCTCTCGCGGAGCAATTTCCTGGCCTTCCTGAAGCGGGAGACCGAGACGCGGCCGTGCTCTATTGTCTATGCGACGCATATCCTGGACAACTTGACGCACTGGCCGACGCATCTGGTGCATATGCATCTTGGCTCGGTGCGGCAGTGGGGTCCGTTTGAGAAGTTCCGGCAAGAGGTGAACGAAACGTCGGAGAATAGCCAGCTTGGTGAGCTGGTGCTTAAGTGGCTCAAAGAGGATCTGGATGCTAGAGGGCCGCGAAACGGACGCAGTAGCGAAGGCAAGACTTACGAGTCTCTCGAGGGCAAGGGTGGATATGGTTTCGAAAAGAGAAACTGATTGGTCCATTTGCTTACCTTCGTCGCCATTTCTCGCATTGTCTTTCGCTTGTGTTTGACCTGGGACCTACGTCTCCCAGTCCGCTGATTCCATTCAACACTTAATTCATGTCAACCATGATGGTAATGCTTGCATAGAGGGGTTATGGCAAACATCTTCAACATTTTGGGAGTTCTTCAACAATGGCGGATCTAACTGATGGTTTGGTTATTCCTTTTGCTCCTGTATATACATATCACTGAGGTCTATGGGAATATGTTCTGAATCTCAAATATCCTCATAGAGGTGTCTTCGCTTGCAACAGCAAGCTCAAATCTACTTCCGCCATCTTTCACTGCAGTAGGTCGCCATGCTAATTGAGTAATCGCCTTCGAAGGTGACATGGCCTTGTCAATGTTTGCGATACAAGTAGCCTCCAGCGTCTGTGCCGCAATCTGGTAGACAGACAGCTCCCCGCTCTCCTCGCCGACCGCGAGAACGAACGAGGCATTCTGTGCCAATGGGAGGAAGGAGATGGCAGTGACCGGAGTCTTCAATGGAATGGTCACCTTACACGTGAAGTTCCCCTCGTCCAATTGCCAAAGCTTCACGGACTTGTCTCGACCAGCGGTTGCGAAGCTGGGAGTCTCCGTGCCGGGGGCCCAGGCAGCATCTAGAATCATCCTAGAGTGGCCCTTCGGGTTTGATGTGAGGAGTTTGAAAGTGGACGGCTCTTCATCGCTCCGACAGAAGAGAGCCCACTGGCGGTCTCGTCCAACACTAAGCAAATACTTGTCGTCATCGGAGAAGCAAAGACTCGTGATCGTCAATGTATGGGCTGCAAGTGACGGCCGGATTTCGTGCCAGCTAGACGTGTCGTAGAGACGAATCACGGCGTGATCGATCGAACTAGCTTTGCAAGCAGTGGCAATGATTGTACGATCATGGCTCACTGCTACTGCGGAGATTTCATAGCCATGGCCGTAGAGTTTCTCGTGCTCAGGCCATAACGTAAAGCGAGCGAGCTGATCCTCGAGGGGAGGCCGGTCCGATTCCGCAAGTATCGTCTGGTTTTCCTGTGTTTTGCTAACTTCTGCAGCCGTGTCGGCATCGCCGTCTGCCGCGGCCTCTTCGCCCATGGATTGGTTGGACAGGCCCAGGACTGGGATCTGGGCCGTGTCTGGCAACTCCGCTTCTGTAGTCTGCTTCACTCCGCTCAGTCGCTCAAGCAACTTGGCTATCGGTTTGGGTTCATTGAAGACCCGGAGGAGCTTCTCCTCTGCACCAGAAACGAAACGTGCCGGCCCTAGCGTATCAACACAGTTCAAATCGTACCCGTGGATCTGCGGTCTGGAGAACTCATGCCAGGAGGTCACCCCATCGCGTAGCCATTGAGCATGCAGACGTGTGGTCTGATCTGCACTAGTCGACAGTAGATACCCCCCGTTAGGCTCCCATTGTATACCATTGGCGGATCGCACGTGTCCAGAGATACCCAGCGCTTGATTCCAGAGGTCGGATTCCGCATCATAATCCCATTTCCGCCAGCTTCCAGTGCGGCCTAGAGTGACAACTTGCTTGCCGTCCGGTGACCAGAGCCCAATCCAGAATCCACCGGTACTTCCAGTAGCGGTCGTAGAGCCTTTTTGTACACTGATCTGACCCATCCGTTCCACAGACACCCAAACACCCGACACGGAGTCTTGTTCCCAGATGGTCAGTGTGTTATCCGCAGAGGCGGTGAGGAGTTGCTGGCGATCCGGGTCAGGGTTCCAAGATGTCGTATAGATCCAGTCTTCGTTTCCAAACAAGAGAGCCTCAAAAGTAACAGAGTACTTCGAGCCTGCTGCATGGAATTGGTGAGCCTTGTTGGACAACGTAGGCTCCAACCCACCCAACATGGGGTCGTCATCATCCTTAGGCTCCGAGGGTGCAGCGTCTCCTTTCTGGAGCCGCCAGAGCCGAACGTACTTGTCCTGACTTGCAGAAGCCAGAAGCAGGTCCCCAGTCTGACTCTGCTTGTCTTTTGTGAATGAGAGTGAGCGCACCCAGGCTTCATGTCCAGATAGCACAGCAGCAAACTTAAAGTCCGTTTCGGTGTCAGATCTCTCGGATACGTAGATTTGTACGATGTTTGTGGTGCCTGCAACCGCCAAAACTAAGGGCGCGTCATTTGTGTCCGTCTGGAGCAGGTGAAGTCCCAGCGCAAGCGGGAAGAACCGCGGTTTCATCGGTATAGACTTCAAGAGTTCACCTCTGATCTCCGGTTCAGATGAAATCCTCCAAATCTTCACAGTCCCATCTGCTGCACTCGAGGCAACAATCTCTGCGCCATCTGCGATAGCAACAGTATTGACAGAGCTTGTGTGGCCTTTCAGAGTCTGGACGAGCGTGAACTTGCGAGAATCGACAGGGTCGGCTTTCCATAGCCGGATGGTATGATCGACAGAGCCGGTGATGATAAGTTTGATTCCCGTCTTGGGGCAGGTATAGAATCGGACGGCGCTGACCTTGTCGGTATGGCCCACGAGTAGAGCATAGACCCCGCGTTGGGAAGTGTCCTGTGCGCGCAACCCACAAATTAGCTGATACTCTCATGAAACATAGACCAAATATCGCCTTATTACAATCCCCTTACCCTTGGATCCCACAAAGCTACATTATTGTCTGCGCCAAAGGCGAGCACACCCGACTGGACATCCCAGTCTGCGGCGGCTGGATGCCTGTTTCCCCCGACACTGATGTAGCTGGTTGTGATGGACACCATGAAGATTATGAACTCAGACAGTGGCGACCTGGATCTTGTGTTTCGAGAGCCGATCTGGAGTTAATCGGTGTGGGGGAGGATCAATTGGAGAAAAGTCGATCGTGGGGTTGAGGAGTTGTCGCAACGGATATGAGCAAATGACTTTTTGCCTTTATCGATAAGGGCGGCCAAAGAACCCTCACCCGCCGCGCGACATTCTTCTTCCTCTTCCCCGCCACAAGCACCTCACTCCCTGAGATACAATCCTTACCGTTTAGAGGGAGCTTACAATCATTCTATTGTGTTGACGCTTTCTCCATAATGGCCACTGAAGTTGTATCCAACGCCGCGACTGCGGGTACTGAAGCTCCGGCTTCCATTCCCATTACGGTCGAATTCACGTTCGCACACCCTTTCTTCGGGCTCCTCTGACATACTCATACTGACTTATTCCTTGAAGAGGAGGCCTAGAGATGCTCTTTTCCAACGAACGCAAACATCAAATTACCCTTCCCGGGCAAACCAGCGACGGTAGCCACCCGAACATCGCCTTTCTTCTTCAATACCTCGTCAAGAATGTCATGAGAGACCAAAGAAAGGAGCTCTTCATCCTGGAAGACAATGTGTATGTCCCAGCATATGTATTGCGGAAACCTCGCTGATCAGCGCTCCAGACGTCCGGGGATTCTTGTTCTCATCAACGACGCAGACTGGGAGCTTGAAGGGGAGGAAACATACGAGCTTCAGCCCGGCGATAATATTGTCTTCGTCTCCACGCTACACGGTGGATAGATCCTGGTCCTACATTTACGCCATTGTCTGTCATGAGGCATGATATTGCATGATCAACGCTTAATTATATCTGATATCCTTCACGCTCTTATGTCCCTCAGGGGAAACCCGCTCCTAAACGACATCTTCCACGTGCTGCTGCGAAATTCTCTCGGGTTCGCGAGGGGTCCGGAGACCACTTTGAGGAGTCGAAAACCCTTCTTTCGGGCTACCTAGGCCTCCCATCAAAGGAGTATTCACTCCACTAGGGGGCACGGGGATTTTGATGTCCTGAGGTGACCCCGGGATGATCTCATCCGGCAGATCGTCAATATGGATGCGGCGTGCCTCATTTTGATAACTCTCGGGAATGATCTGGTCATTGTTAGATGGATCATCCATGTCCTAGATATATATCTGACTGCCTTACCTCGATGATCTCGTCGCGCGGGAACTCTAAGAATGGGATATCCGCGGCATTGCATGCCATCAGATAGCCATATAGAACTCTCAAGACGCTTTCATGGGCAATTATGAGAAGATCATTCTGCTCGCGCTCAAGTTCCAGGATGATGGGCTCCAGACGCACGGCGAGATCGTGATATGACTACACAAGATCGGTTAACATGTGCCGTAGTCCCAATGCCAGGGGAGTTCACTCACTTCTGCACGGGGATACCTATGGTGATAGGGATCAAGTTCGTGCTTTGCCACCTCCTCCGGGTATTCTTCCCGGATTCTCTTCTCTGACATTTTCTCGCAGACGCCAGGGTTGAGCTGGCTAAGCTGTGACCGTTGCCGTACCTTATAGCCTGACTCATAGAGGTACTTGGCGGTCTCGATTGTTCTGCGCCTTGTAGACGTCCAAACGGTCAAAGGCTTCAACTCGTAATCAGTCTCACCTTGATCAATCATAGCCTGTTTCTCAGACTCCCTATGCTTTAGCAGGCACTCGGTCATCTTCTTAGCATAATGCTCCCCTTTCTCAGACAACGACGCGTCTGCTTTGTAGGAGTCTGCTTCCAGAGAAACGCCAGCCTGGTAAACGGATGCTTAGTCTGTGGGCACCAAAATGTAACCATGTCAACTACTTACGCGTGCAAAATAAGTGTGTCTATCTTTGATGTGGAGGTTGAGGAGATAAAACACAATCCGGTGGGACAAGTAACCGAAGCTCCGGTTGTTCACAATCAATCTCTCCCCTGCGTTGATCATCTAGGTCTGAAGTTTAGTGGGACAGTTTGATGACTGAGAATGTTGGGAGTACCTTGATGTAATTCAAGTCATGCTCTTCCATTGTCTGGAAATTAGGGATTCGGGCCGTTATGCGGGCTAAGTAATGTTTCACGGCATCCTCCGAAGTCCACCCAACATACTGCTACATGTTAGACTGTGTAAGGTTGCCCAAAAGGTTTCGACTTACATCTGGTGAAGAGATTTTCACTCGACGAACATTCTCCTCGATAATGCGTTCATCATCGCACCACGATTCAATAAAGAGCGTCTGTTGGAGGGGTCAGAACAAGCTACAAATGGTGGCATCAGGAGTCAGCATAGGTAGCAAGCTTCCATACTTCAATATCATGTTTAGCGAATTCCTTGGCAAGAGACCTTCTCCCGGATGCTAGAGGATTGACGGCATCATAAATGGCGATCTGGCCATTTTCCTCGTTCAAGAACTGGTAGATGTCTTCACGACATCTCTTTACTATCTTCTGTCGTAAAAGAACCGAGGAAGCCGATGCTGTGACTGGTCAGCGACAGCTCTGTCAGATAAGGCATAGTGGAGCCTCTTGCCATTGACGAAGAAGTAGTCGTCGGGAATGTCTTGGCCAACGGGGATTGTCGCACGTCTATAGTCACCAAGATGAAAGATCCTCGTTTTGACACCCAGCCTACTCTGCAATTAGCACGATAAGAGCAAGAGTGACTCGGAGAAACACACCATCGGAGATAGCGCGCGAGGGCAACCGAGATATGTCTAAATCGGAACCATCTGAGTTAGCTCGATTCATGATTCCATACTGAGCTGGTGAGACGAACGTCTTCCCCCGCGCTGGTAGGCCCACGGTGATGATGACGATCCGACCGGAATGGAATAGACGGCCCGACTCCGTACTATACAGCTGGGCCGGGGCTAGATCTGCCTTTTCCGGTAGATCGTGGATCGCATCAACGAAGGTGGATGACTTCCGCCGAAATCGGGGAGAGTTGACCACAATGTCCGCTGTCCTGGGTGATATTAGTGATTTCGTTTATCGAAAGTAGATACAATGGCAAGTGGGACGCCGACGGAACCGACGCTTGGTTACAGATGAAATTGAAGGCGAACCTACAGTAGGGTGTCCATGAAGAATTGATAGAGTGAAAAGCGGTGGACCGGTGACAAGAGTTGAATTGATGGAACGGTTGGTTTCAGGGCGTCGGAAAGAACAAGCCCAGAAGCAATCAATCATAAATAGAGAAGCAAGGCCCCTTATGTGTGGACCCTATTCGGAGAGCCCAAAGAAGAAGCAAGAAGACGCCAATCCCGATGATGGACGCGGGATGTACTCTTCACCGAAGCTGGCGCTGGCCCAGGTTCCCGATGGATGGATGGCCGGTACGATATAGCGGAGAAAATCCCCTGCGAAGTAAACCGAAGGACTCAAACAGAATAAAAAGAAATCTTCAATGAAAAAACAAACAAAGGAAACGAGCCACGCAGCCGTCGTCGAGGGAGATTATGAGGTAAAGGCATCAATCAGGCGGTCGAGAGATTATATCATCGCTGGATGGCGGCCTAGAGAATCAGGCCGGTCACCTTCCCGGTAGGGCCCGAAGCAGTAGTGCGAACTCGGGCGGTCTACAACGACCCAACGCGCAGGCCCGGCGGAAAAGCAAAAGTGACTTTTTTCAATCCCAACACCTTCGTTCCAATACTTCATCCTGCCCTGGTGTCTTCTTTCTTCCCGCCATTCGCACTCGACCAGAGCAGCCCGGACGCAGCCCATTGTCCTCGTCAAGCTCTGATTTTCACGTTTCTTGGCAGATTTCCTACCACCTTGTCTTCTCGGTGTTCAGCTTGAGGGCTGGTCTCAGAGCTTTCTTCCCAGGCGCCGCATACCCGCGTGACGACTTCTCTCGCTCATCCTCGAGAATTCTTCTCCTCGTCTTTTAAATCTCTCCACAATGGCCGAATATCTCACTCCTCCTTCGTTCCTCACGGATAACAGCGTCGCTGCCGCCCTTAAGGATGCATACTCCTCGTTCTCCGAGCGCAGGGCGGCCCTCGGCCTGCCTAACCCGGGAACCGTCGACAACATCGCCCGCGAAGTCCAGAAAGAAGTGCTTCTCTCCAACTTCATGTTCTCCGGTCTCCGGGCAGACTTGACCAAGGTGTTCGGCATGAGCCCCCTGTTCCGTGTATCGCATGCGTTCTCCATGGGCTCGTCCGGAAACCTGCCCCCGTATGCCTTCTCCGCCATGTACGGAAGCCCGAAGGTAAGCCAACAAAGTCCACTTCATACAATATCTCTTTCAATTAAGAGTGAAAAAGGGAAAGGATCGATGACTGATGGTATTTCTGAATAGGTCTTCATGCAAGGTAACTTCGGAAGCGATGGCGCTCTTGCTGCTGTCGGCAACTATCGTTGGAACCCCAAGCTCGTCACCAAGACCAACACTCAGATCATGGCCGGTGCCAGCCAGGGCCTTATCCAGATCGACAACGACTACACCGGCGATGACTTCTCGGCCTCGCTCAAGGCCTTCAACCCTTCGTTGTTGGAGGGTGGCCTTACCGGAATTTTCGTTGGCAGCTACCTTCAGTCTGTGACTCCTAGCCTGGCTCTCGGCTTCGAGGCTATCTGGCAACGTCAGGGCATGAACACCCGTCCGGAAAGTGCCATCTCTTACAGCGCCCGCTACAAGACCAGTGACTGGATCGCCAGTGCCCAGCTCCAGGCCCAGGGTGTCTTCACTGCTTCTTACTGGAAGAAGCTCTCTGATCGCGTCGAAGCTGGTGCCGACCTCAACCTTCAGTTCGCTCCCAACGCTGCCGCTGCTCTCATGGGCGGCCCCAGCCGCGACGGTACCACCGCCATTGGTGTCAAGTACGATTTCCGTGCTTCTACCTTCCGCGCTCAGGTCGACAGTGCCGGTAAGGTCAGCTGCCTTCTCGAGAAGCGGATAGCTATGCCCATCTCTCTTACCTTTGCTGGTGAGATCGATCAGGCCAAGGTACGTTGTCTTCGCTCCATAAATCCGAGTTTTCCAATGGCTAACGCTTCTTCTTTCACTAGCAATCCGCTAAGCTCGGTCTTGCTGTTTCCCTTGAGATCGCTGGCGAGGAGCTGATGGAGCAGCAAGAGAAGATTGAGGCTCAGGGCATGGTCCCCCCGCCTTTCTAGATGTCTCGCGCGCATTGCTGGGCCTAATTGAACACCCCCCAATGGGAGGAGACCCGCTCATGTCCCCTGTCTCCCTTCCAGCCGATAACCTTTTCACCTTTTGTTTTAGTAGCACTTCACTCCCCCTCCTCCCTATATGTGTGTTTGAAGATGGTGTGTGTCTCCTTAGGAGTTTGTCCCCTTGAGCGCGGTTTGCTGGTCCAGGGATGCAGTCGGTTGGCGCCACGGAACCACCTTTTGTATAGATTCTTGTTTGTGATTCGAATCTTTCTTATACTCCTTTTTCTTACGGATTTATCTATGATTATTCACCTGTCTCTTTTACTCTCTTGCTTTCTTGTTACCTTACCTTTTCCGGTGGCTATATTGGCTGATTGACAGGACTGTTCGACATGCATGGAGGCAACTCGCGGGAAACTGTTATCTGTTTATGCATCATAGATGGGCAATGTAAAACAAGTTATGGTCGTTGACTAGAGATAATGGTAGTGGGCGCATTGCGCATCAAGCATGTGTGAGGTGTATACCAAAAGATATATATCGAGGGGTTACCTATTATGCATAGACGGACGTGCTCCGACCTCGAACACCGCAGGAAGAGCACCCTTGGTGGTACTATTTTTACTCACCGGTGCCCTGAAGAGGCCAAGCAGCCTCGAAATGCTGTTCAATTGTAGTCTATGAGCAAGATGGACTCGATAGTCCCCCATGCATCCGAGGGACTAGGGGGACCTTCCATGAAGATGAAATGCATGAAGCTAAGTTAAAGGGGATTTAAGCGTAGGTGGTGAAGCCATTCATATGAAGGATGTGCAATTGATGAGCTTGCATTCAACTAGTCATACATAAGTATCACTAATGGGAACTTTTGGATGGTACGGTAAAAGCAGGTCTTCTTTTGCGCTGTGTTATTATTTGATATTCATAGAAAATAAACATCACGTGGGGTGATGGTGCAGTTGGGAGCTCGTCTGACTGAAGTTTCATACGAATCTGATTATCAGAAGGTCACCGGTTCGATCCCGGTTCACCCCATTTCTTTTTTTGCTCTTCATCCTTTTTTCACATGAACCAACTCACAACCCGCTATAACCCCATTGTTGGGGTTATCCTGAGACACAATGCCAGTAAAGGCTAGCCTAGCGAAGACTTACCGTGTCCATGACAAGCGCCAAAGGAAATTAACATCAAAATGGGATGGAATAAGTGGACTCTCGCAGCTTAGAGCGTGCCCGTATTCCATAGTGTCTCCATCAGATGGGGACGCACCCACACAAATTAATAACGACGACTCCATACTCCGTCCCCAAGGACCATCTGTATATGCAACTAACTAACCTTGCACCCTCCACCGGGGCGTCTCCGTACTCCGTCCTGAGCAAGAGCTGGAGCAGACCCCGGGGTGTTGTCGGGGGGCGGTCCCATCCCGCTGGCGCAGACTCGGTAGCCCAACAATTGCAACACGGAAGGTCTGCATGGGACTAAACCGTTCGAGTCCCCACCGGGGGGAGAAGCTAATGCATTCTCGGCGATTTCGGCTAGAGGGCCAGTGGTGGTCCTTCGTTTTCATTCTGAAGTTGAACAATATGACTGCACCGTAGAGGTCGGGGCCGTGACAAGGATCCCAGCACATGGTCCGCTCGGAGATGATAGCGTGGTCACTACAGGAGTCGCTCGGACCATTGGAGAATGTGGCGAATTTTGTCGGGTCTTCCTGTGAGGATGTCCGTGGTTGATAGTTGACGTCCCGCTGGCCATAGTTGCTTTAGGGGGTTCCACCATGACATCATTCCTTTGAGTGCACCTTTTTTCCGTCGTCCGTTCACCCATCGGGATAGACGTCTTTCATTATGATAGTGGCTAGGTTTGTTTTTGGTCTTCCTCTCGAGGTGTGGAGGGCATGGGTGATGTTTCGATGGATTTGAAACGGTCATGTCCTCGGAAATGCTTGACCTTGACGGGTAAGGGTAGGGCTCATAGTATGACGGAGGAATGGTCGGTCTCAGGTACACTCGGTCCTTACATGCCGCTGGAAACCTACGGGCATGACCCATATTCCGTACAGTGGTAGAATGTCGGGTTGGGTCAATAATAATGCATGATTTGTGCAGCTTGTTTCAGCGCCCAGCCACTCCTGCGCCGAATAGCAGGAGAATCGTAGAGGCTGGTCTACCCATAATATCTGAATCAACGCTTACTCGACGATTTTTTCAAAAGACCCTGGACAGTCCGCATGGCCAATGCCGACGTGACGTCGGTGATGCCCATGCATTCATACCTTAACCACCTCAGGCTGTCGCTCTGACATTCCAATCTCACTGCCTTACGATCAGCTGTGGGCAGACGGGAATGCTTACAATCGGTATGCAGCCGGCTCGCTAACCATTGACATGGCCATTCACTGTGGAACTACCCAGGCAGTCCCTAGACGACGTAGAGTTTGGTAGCACCTAAGGCTCCAGGCACCGATCAGCACTTAGGTAAAAGAATGCTCGGTAGTGAAGTCCATCCACAGGCCCGCGAACTCGGATAATAATGATTGTGACGTGCTAGGAGGAAGCTAGCCGGCAGGACCTGGTTTCATGAAGAAATTCCATCCACGGATAACCATGATCATCCATAAGATTGAGATCCTCAACCCAACCGTTTGGACGAGTTAGTGCCGAAAAAGGCTGACTCCCCGGCTCGGTTCGATCGTCGCGCGCGATGTCATAGCTCGTTGTTCAACCTCGCGTTGCTCCTGCCACTTTTATAGACGTCGCTATTTTGAGGTCCAGTCACACCGGACAGAGGTCAAGAGGGACAGTGGCGCGCAACGTCCGCGATCCCCAATCCAGCCCAGCCCCCCCTGGTCACCTGAGAGCATGGTGAGAAAATGACCAACGAGCGTCCGATCTGCTGACGCTGTTGAACCGATGATCCACAGAACCAAACAATACCCTGGCTGGTTCGACGACCGGAATCAAGAGCCAGGGAACGTTTAATTATCAGGACAGACAGCCATCGGAGCAGCGTAGACGATCTGACAGTCGGCAGTAGGGTCTCCAAACGGACTCTGGCACGGATTATACGGAGTAGGTTAAGGGTCCAGTCTTTCAATCATTCGGAGGGCAGGTGCCTTGGCCTTTGATTAACGAGCATCCCTTGGCAACTTCTGATGCTCACGTGTATTGAGGGGAATGAAAGTTGGGTCGCTCTTAGCCACGGAAGTGGGGCAGGGCGATACCCAACTACAGTGTAATTCGGCTGTATGAGTATTTGCCTAATGCGGTAAAGAGACTCTATGTGTACTGTACGATACGGGTATTTCTGTGCTTCCGTTGAATCGTGTAATTTATCCTGGAGATCCAACATCTTCCTATATGTTGGTTTATATATTGTCGGTTTGGCTAGGCACTCTAAATATATAGGGCTTTGATTGTACAGTGGCTTAAAGTTAGTTATAATGGCACCTCGGAGGACTTAGCGTCTGCAGACCAGGGGAACATAGAGTAATACCTTAAATATAGGTATCCAAAGCTACCTAGGGGAGATACTACAGTAGATGTCTAACCTGACACTCACCACCGACGTCTATAAAGAAATCCAAAGCCCAATGCCCATCTGCAAGCCAGCAACAACCCACTGCAGAACCCAAAAGAGATAAGATCTCCCCAATGCATATAAATAGTGGCATGCGACGCAGAACCAGCTTACTGATTCTAGTACCAAGCCACGGAAGGACTAGAAGGATCCTTACTGCCTGACCGGGGGGCGAAGGAACAATTCCATTCTACAAGGAATAGACTAAGAACCAATCCAGAGGCCATTGGGTCACACATCAGCCACGAGGCATGCACAAAGGCTTAGAGTATCAGGATTGACAAAGAAGCAACGCGAGAGCTTGTAGAGTTCATGCTTCAGCGAAGCAGCCCTAATCGCCATGCATGACTAGCTGGCAAGCAGCTGACGGCAGTAAGAAGAGGCGTCCATGCGAGCTATGGTACGGAGAATGTGATTCAGTGATGTTTTTGTTGAATCTGGGTCAGGTGCTGGTTTCCAACACAGGGTTTTGATGCTTCAGAAGACTCACTGGAGCTAACAATACGAGTTCTAATTAAAGAACAAGCGCTGCACAGTCCCCTTTTCTGGGATTAGGGGCGAACTGTAGCTATACACGTGAGATCTGACAGATTGGTGGAGCATCGCGAATCTTTTTGCGGACAGCCATGACGCATGTCACTATACCAGGTAGTCATTCAAATCAGTACCTTATGATCTTGTCAAACAACTACTCTAATCCTCCATTTGGTTGTCGATAAAACACAGACATAAAGAGACATAAACATGTTTAAAAGTCCCTGTAAACTTCCCACCACTTACGCCGTGAACTATTGCTTAGTTGAAACATAACCCGCCCTGCCTCAGACATAGGTACGAGCTACCTCGAAGCTAATGGACCAGTGACAGGGCGCATGGCAACCTAATTCCATAGTCACCCGCCTACAAGCCTCCTTTTCTTTCCGGACCCGACCGAGAAGCGCATCCGGCCATCTCACAGTCTAGATCCCGGTCGAGAAGTAGGTAGTTCGCTGACTTGCTTCGGTCGGGATGGGCCCAATTCCGCATTGGTAAACAGCTGGGACTGCACGGCTCGTAATTACGATACTATCAGGACCTCCAGCTGGTATAGTGGCGGCAACCTTTTCGTCAGCATGGCCAATCAGAAGCATTCCAGTGAAAATCACGGCTGGTCACTTGACTCGGACGGACCAAACACATGGCACTGTCACCAAAGCTCCCAATAACTCTCGAATCTTAATCTACCTCCCTCCCCGGTAGTGCGCAAACTAACGATTGTCCTGATGACATGTCGTCTATGATGCCAGCTGATCCTTGGCCTTTTTCTCGCCTCCCCTACATCCCCCGTGAGCGTCTGGATGTAGGTACGCATAGCGAGAGGCGCTTGATGGCTGTCATCTAGCCGAGGACTCGAGTATCCACGCGTGAAATATGACCTAACAATCGCTGGACACAACCATACTGATTTGTAGGAATTGGTCGCGCATCATGTTCCATCATGTCAGGTGGTTGAGTAGCACACCTCATCTTATTTTAATTCCGGTCCGATCGCAGGAATCAACGTTCTCTTCCCGCACGGGCATAGAGCTCCATCCATACCCATGTTCTAGCCCCCGGGGGCCCCTGATGCCAGGAATGTCGGCGTGTTGGACATGGAGCCCCCCCGTAGCGTGAAAAAAAAAAAAAGCTGGGTTGATCCATCCCGGGGGGAATTGGCGGGGGCCACTATGAACAGAAGCTCAACGAAGAGAGCACATAGGACAGTACTCCGTACTCCGTACAGAACTGGTTTCAACCCGAGCGCTTGGGGTCGAAGGTCATCTGCCCACTGGTTGAATGGGGCCTCGTCCCAACCCGGCAATTACCTGCGCCCAATCTCAAAATGGTTCCACATTAGTCCGCCCGTCATTAGTAGGGATCCGCTCAACTGGTTGTCGAGGTAGAGGTAGAGGACTGTGTTCAGGCAAAAAGCGAGGTGGTTTTTCTCAGGACATTGTTGGTGTTCTGGGGTGATTTCTGGCATAGCACAGGGTACAACTCTACCGATGATCGCATGGGGAGCAGACAGCACCGGGGATCAGTGCTTCACGAGGCAGGCTTACCCAGGAAGGGTATAGCGGCGTGGTAGGATCACAGGAACATGGACCTAGGTCCAAGCTCTGCCACTAACTCCCCCCAAGATACCCAGGTCGGTTAGTTAGTGACGCTGTATGGATCCATGATGTATGTAATTGGTACCTTGAGTCCTAACCTCTTTCGACCGCAAATGTCCGGAGAGATCCTTGCTTTCGGTAAGGGCGATGATGGCGATGATGTAGGTCGATGTAGGATGATACCTACATCATCAACGCCGCCTCGTGACCAACCAACCCATGGTAGGACCGAGCGACAACTGCAAAGGACCGTACCTAATTCTCATCTTCCACTCGTTCCGACCGGCTCTCGGAGGGAGCGTCTTGGACGGCGATAGGCATTCAGTCGATCCGAGTCGATCAGTACTACGAGGTACCTATCACCTAGTGTAGGTACCTACCTATCTAGGTACTTATCGGCCGGTGGTAACAGAGCCACGGATCGAAGCGTATCATCTGGTATCATGACACACATGAACATCATTACATACACCCCTCTTTCCCCCTCCTCTGTAATCATTACGGCGCTTCTCCCAGCGATCCAAGCCCAAAGCTGTGCCTACTGGTCCCAAATGACAGGCAACTGGTGCATTAGGGGAGGGATTATATGTAGGTGGTATTATTTGCCCCCGTTATTATTGTCATCTCAAGAGCCTGCACTACTGTCGAAGACATGCCGGAGGCCATAAACAGAAACCCGTCCTACTTGACTGCTCCAATAATCCTTAGGTAGTCTCCATCATCCACAACCTTCTCTTCTACCCACGATTTTATTTTTGCCTCCACACACGCACACTGCCACAGTTCCCCTTCTGTCCCCGGTATCCGTTTACCCAGGCTTGTTCCAGGTAAGTAACTAAACGCTATTCCTGCTTCCGCCGCCGCCTCCTATGAATTTCCTACGAGATTTATTTTCCTGAAATCTATAATCGGTTTCTCTCTTATTCTCGATCTTCCCTCTGATACCCAGCCGGTACCTTGAATACTCTTCTAGTTGTCTTGTACGTTGTATTTCTTCTTTATAGTGAGCGGGAGTCCCTATCAACTCCGCTACCGTTCTTCCCTTCTTGTCCGCCGTCTTCTTTATTACAACGTTTCTTATTTTCTTATTTGTGATTCATATCCTGCCTGGTATCTTCTCATCAAATTCCTCCTGTTCATTTTGCCAGAATCGTCTTACCTTTTGGGGGTCTGGAGGTTGTCGCTGGAATTGGAGGATATATTCCCGGGAACCTGCGGAACACACGTGTTCAGGCTTCGTCACTCCATCAACGGCACCTGCTCTCCCTCCTCCCTCCCTCTTCCCTCTCGCTCTCTCAACCTCTCGCTGCTCTCTACTTCCACTACCACCACAACCTTCTCCTTGGATTTCTTTCCCTGCCACATCTGTGAGGCATGAAATTCTCTTCTAACCGCTCCTGGATTTAGTTTACCTACCTACCTGACCTTCATCTTTTCCCCTTCCTATATTCTTCTTTCCTTTCCCTTCCCTCCATTCCTCCATCTCTACGATCGTCTCCCGCCTACTTCTGGTCGGCCTCGCGTTTCCTTTTGGTCTTGCGTTCTCTTGGCATTCTGCCCAAGTCCATTGGCTGCGATTCGTCCGTCCGCACGTCCGCTTCTCAACCTTTCATCTCACGCGCACCTCCACTCAACATCCACCGTTCGGATAATCCGCCCATCCAGAAGACACCCCTCTTCCCACCTAGTGCTCCACCGATTATCGTCTGCCCAAAACGGACGGCACGTTTCGGTCTTACGTTCCTTCCCGCCCTCCGTCATTGAACTACAGCCCTCCCTCCCGTCGATAGACCTGCTCAACTCGCTGGCCGTCGTCGTCCACACAGACCGTCCGTGATGTCACAGAAACAACCCGGGCTGTTCTCGAGTTTGCGCATGGGTGGTAAGAGAGCCTCGTCCCAGTCAATTGTCTCGTCTTCTCCGAGAGGGCCGCTTACTGACCGTCGCCCCCCTTTCCGATCGTACAGAAGTCGTCCGCGAGAAAGTCCAGGATGGACTGACGGGGGAGACCAAGGAGATCTCATACTCACAATGCAAGATCGTGGGCAATGGGTCGTTTGGCGTCGTCTTCCAAACAAAGATGATGCCCAGCGGCGAGGATGCTGCCATTAAACGGGTCTTGCAAGATAAACGCTTCAAGGTATGCCTTCATCAGGACGGGATCGCTCCCTCCCCTCTTTCATCAATGGTCATGTGCCTAATGTGATCGCAGAATCGTGAGCTGCAGATTATGCGAATCGTCCGCCATCCCAACATTGTAGAATTGAAGGCCTTTTACTATTCTAACGGTGAGAGGGTAAGTGGACCAGTCCTCTCTTGTCTCTCAACACCGGATCGCTCAACTAACCATCTTTGACCGCCCACAACAGAAGGATGAAGTATACCTCAACCTTGTTCTCGAGTATGTGCCGGAGACGGTGTATCGGGCCTCGCGCTATTTCAACAAGCTGAAGACGACTATGCCCATGTTGGAGGTTAAGCTTTACATCTATCAGCTGTTCCGCTCCTTGGCGTACATCCACTCGCAGGGCATCTGCCACCGTGACATCAAGCCTCAAAACCTGCTGCTCGACCCCACCACCGGTATCTTGAAGCTTTGTGATTTCGGATCGGCGAAGATTCTGGTCGAGAATGAGCCCAACGTGTCGTACATCTGTTCGCGCTATTATCGCGCGCCTGAACTGATCTTTGGCGCCACGAACTACACCACCAAAATTGGTATTTACCCAGACCGACCCGGTCGGGTCTACTCAGATGCTAACAGACTTCTCAGATGTGTGGTCGACTGGCTGTGTGATGGCTGAGTTGATGTTGGGCCAACCACTCTTCCCCGGAGAGTCTGGCATCGACCAACTAGTGGAAATCATCAAGGTCCTGGGTACTCCGACTCGCGAACAGATCCGGACGATGAACCCCAACTACATGGAACACAAATTCCCTCAGATCAAGCCACACCCCTTCAACAAGGTACATATGCCTCTATCTTCGTATCCGGGAACAGCGCGGCTAACACTGCTTGTCTAGGTGTTCCGAAAAGCGCCACCTGAGGCCATCGACCTGATTTCGGCACTGTTGGAGTACACTCCCACGCAACGCCTGTCCGCCATTGAAGCCATGTGCCACCCCTTCTTCGATGAACTCCGGGATCCCAACACCCGCCTCCCCGACTCACGTCACCCCAATGGGTCGTCGAGAGAGCTTCCCAACCTCTTCGACTTCTCAAGACATGGTTTGCCATCCCTCGACCTGACTGGAAGGTGTCTGTCCCCACTAACTGTCGTTTAGAACTTTCCATCGCCCCTGCAATGAACAGCCGGCTGGTCCCTCCTCATGCACGCCCTGCGCTGGAGGCTCGCGGGCTTAATATCGATAACTTCAAACCCCTCACGAAGGAAGAAATGATGGCACGCCTTGACTGAGTCAAATGTGCCTGACGCTTACGAAATACACGCTTGTCCACAGTACGGCCGTATGCATATATGCGGGAATCTGATTTTTTCCCGCTCGCATCCCAGTCTTATGCATCGGACGGTTTTAGTTGGGACGGGCTACTCATTTGTCAACCTTGCACAAGTCTTAGTGAGGCATCTGGGAGCTGGTTTCCTGTGAGAGGAAGGAGTACAAGAGAAAAACGAAAAATGTCTAAACAGAAAAAAAAAGAAGACTCATTGGGAGTGGTAGAAGGAGGACCATCCTTGTCATGGCTGGAAAAGTTCTTTTACGGTGTGTGGTGGGACATGACGATTTCACGCAAGGGGACGATGGGATGTCTTAGTCTGGAGTTATTGAGGTGTCTGAGACAGCTCTTGGAGGAAAAAGTGTGATACCCTGTCTGCGTGAGTCTGCCTTCCGGGATTCGAGTCTGCATAGCTTCATAGCTCTGTTGAAGGGGTCATGGGAACAGATTACCGCGAGTCTGACCGAGGAGAGAGCACGGCGGTGAATATCTTGCAAATGCGTCAGATCTGCGGATGATTGATGTCTTTGCTTGGATGCACATCGATGGTATATCTGTGAGCGTGCTTTGAATATAGGCATTGGAGGTGGTACCCCCGGACTTGCAGCTCTATAAACCCTTTACCTGTGCATTTCACTTCTCTCTTCCTATCTCTTTGTTCTTACGCTTCAATTCCCGCATTTTCCTTCTCAATATTTACTACACTTCATCCCTAGTGTGCATTCGCTTTGGCCCCGGTGACCACCTCACTCGAATCGGCCGACGATGAAGCTACCTGTTCTTAATTCCGAAAGCAGACGACTATTTTGTTCCAATATTGCTTTTTGCCCTTGTCCTTGTTGATCGATTCCGCATCTCCTAGAGACCTGAAGAAGTATGCCAGCAACCTTCCGTTCGTTCGTGTGTATAACCACGGTCTTATTCTTGCGTTTCGGATTGCTTGTATCAGCAGCTCTGGCTAGCCTGCTAGCATCACCGCTCCTAGGATACTGTTCCTTTCGGCGGAATCTCTCGCATTGCATTGACTTTTTGATTTCGGAGTAGTTCCATAAATGCTAGAGGAACATTTTCAGGGCTGTCCCCCAGACGCAAGAGGCGCAAGAAGAATTGCTTGTGGAGTTTAGCTACTCATTTCGAGCCTTATCTCACAAAGAGAAGGGCTTAACTGGTACCCCATATGATCAATAACGGTTCAAGCATAAGGGTCAAACAGGAGCCAGCGCCAACTATTTGTCTTGTATTGGAAGTAGAGGCTGTTTGTGATGAGGTGTATCTCTTACGGTCATGCTTCACGGGTCTGTTAGACGGATTGGAAATATCATTGCCAGAAAGCTGGTGTAACCACAAATCAAGGAAATCTCTTGTTACCCCTGAGCAATGCAAAGGGAAATACAAAACCGAGCAGAAAAGATATAGGTAGTATTACCTATGAATGGATGCGACCTGGATGACGTTGGCTCAAATGAAGCATATATTACATAATCAACGGGACGGACGATCCTAGATTCCGAACTTCGAGAGCTCGAGGCATTGGTCGTGTTTTGTTGCTTAGGCGCACGCGGTCGAGCTTCGATTGTCGCTGAGTTTCCCTGTGCATGAGGCGCTAGTTCCGCTCTTGAACCGTCTTTCGGTCGATACTCTGATTGGAATTGTTTCGATACACAGCACCTGTGTGGTCAACGACACTGCTTTCACGCAGCATCTAGCTCGGTATGGCCGACTACGAACGCCGGAATCATGGGTATAGGGGAGGGCGCAAGAGACGCTACAGAGGTAAGGGCAGAAGATAGACCTGTTTAAGCCTGCTGTTTTGCGCTTGTGCCATCGGAGGTGGTTTGCTGACGTCTGTCAACGTGGACAGAGGACGATGATTATGATCGCCGTCAACGGCGCAGATATGAAGAGCCATTGGTCGTGAAAGTTCGGAGGCAGCTGCTCACCATTGCTGAATCTGTACGAATCTCTCTTCTATGGAGCCAATTCATTCCGTTGCACCTACTCACGATTTCGCACTAGGCTGCCCGGCGCGTGGAAGACGATACCGTCGCTATCGCAAAGAGCGTGACGGACAACTACGAGGACGAGGAAATCAAGCAGACTTTCCTTGATGTCATTTTTGCACTGTACGGCGTCCACGAATCGATGTGTCCCGTTTCGAATGGGTGACTGATGATGCGATACTTAGTGTGCTCGAACAACCGTTGAAGATCCCTTTCGTTGCCTCCACGGTTCTTGTCGCCAACGCTCTGAAACCAGAGGTCGTGTCGGACGTCCTCAAGAAGTTCGGCGAATCGCTACAGGCTTACATTGACTCCGGGTCGTGGCGTGAGGTCAAACTTCTCCTTCGGTTTTTGGGTTGCATCCAATGCCTTTTTGAAGGAGATGGTGTCTTCCCCATCTTGGAGGAACTGTTTGCCCGTGCTGTTGACCTTCAGACGGCTTCGTCGGAAGATGTGAGTAGCGCTGATTTTGGTTATTCGATTGTCGTTGGTATGTTAGCTAACGGTCTGGGAATAGCTGCTTGGGTTAGAACTCGTGAAGATCATTCTGTTCACCATTCCGTATGTCATCGCCTCGCCCGCGACGGGCTTCGAGTCGCACGCCAGCTCTCTCCTCGAAAAAACAGATATCATCGCGTCCACCCCGCATACGCTCGTCGACCTGGTCAACCCATTTGGTCTGGAAAACGGAAAAACAGAGGGGGTTCAGAGTGTCATTAGTCTGCTCCAGGGCCAGCTTCAAGAAGAGGCCAGCCGCGGCTGGAAGCTCGTCTGTCTTCCGCGGGTATGGAAGGATATTCGTCTGCCAGAGGCGCAGGACGAGTCCAAGCCAGAAGAAGAGAAGCCGGAAGACGACAAGCCGTGGTATGAGGGAACGAAACATCCGTTCCCTCAAATCACCATTCCTAACCCTGTGCCGAAAGGATCGAGGGCAATCTTCCCGCAGGTGTACTTCTCGGTCTACGCCAACCAGGAGATCGAGACGGTTCCTCCGATGTCTGATATCTCCTCTTCTCTGTTGCGGGATGTTCTGGTCGATACTATCAATATTCTCGATTTCAACCGCATCGCAGCTGCCAAGTTCTTGATCGACGTCGACTGCTTTTTTACACCATACACTTTCGTGAAGCGTGCGACGCCTTTCGACAGACTCCGCGAGATTTCCGGAGACCATGCGACTTGGAAGCCCGAAGACGTGGCAGTGGATGCGGTCTTTTCGCAGTTGTTCCAGCTTCCTACTCCGGAACACAAGCTGATCTGCTACCACTCCGTCCTTACTGAATGTTGCAAGATCGCCCCCGCGGCTATTGCTCCTAGCTTGGGTCGTGCGATTCGCTTCCTGTACCGCGGACTGGAGACTATGGACTTGGATCTATCGTACCGGTTCCTGGACTGGTTTGCTCACCACCTTAGCAACTTTGGTTTCACCTGGAAGTGGAGTGAATGGTAAGCAGAGAAGAAGGAAATTCAGATGAGTACAACGCTAACATCTACTAAAGGATTGAAGATCTTGAGCTGCCCGCCGTGCACCCCCGAATGGCGTTTATCAACGGGGCTCTCGATAAGGAGATTCGGTTGAGCTTTGCACAGCGCATCCGCGGAACCCTCCCCGACCCGTATCAGGACCTGATCACTGAAGGGAAGGAGAAGGACACTCCTGACTTTAAGTATTCCTCAGAGAGTAAGTGATCCTTCAACTCGTGGCTGCAATCAAGACTCGAAGTTACTAACATCCGTAAGACGCCCCTTACGCCAAAGAGGGCATGGAGATCATGCAACTCATTCGCAAGAAAGCAAGTGACGAGGAGATCCAGCCATTCATCGCCGCCATTGAAGAACAAGCCAAGTCTCTGGGCGTCGAAGACCCCCTGCTCCCTTCGACGGACGCCTTCGTGACGGCCATCTGCTTCGTCGGCTCGAAGTCGCTCTCGCACGTGTTGTCCTGCATCGAGCGCAACAAGGAGCGCCTGCTGGCCATCGGGCCGAAATCGCCCGCCGCGCGCCGCCAAATCATCACCTCCGTCCTGGAGTACTGGGCCGACCAGCCGGGCATCGGCATCAACATCATCGACAAGCTCCTGAACTACACCATCCTGACGCCGCTGTCCGTCGTCGAATGGGCCCTCGTCGACAAACTCGAGGCCGGCACCATCCTCGCCAAGCTGCACGTCTACGAGATGGTCTCGGCCACCGTCGGCAAAGTCACCAACCGCATGCGCCAGATCGTCGCCGCGCGCATCCAGCCGGGCCTCTATGAGCCGCAGCTCAGCGTCCTCCACGACACCCTCGTCCGCGAGAAGGCTGACATGCAGGCCCTCTTCAAGGTCATCGAAGACGCCCTCGTCTCCGTCGCCGCCGGCAGCAACGACGAGATGATGGAGCGCGGCGATGGTAGCGGCGCCCTTCCCGAGGACGAGCTCATCCGGCAATGGGGCCGCCGCTGGCTCCGCGTCTTCCGCCGCCGTGCTGGTGTCGAGGAGTCCTTCATCGCCGAGGCCATGGTCCATGCTACCCCTGTCGGCACGGAAGCGCCCCCTCCGCCCCCTGCTGCGCCGTCTGGTTCCCAGGATGGAGGGGCGGTGGTGGCCCCGGACGGTGATATGGATATTGGGGATGCGGATGGACCTGTTGTGCTTTCGTAGGGGGGTTTTGTTGGGTATGGTTCTTGGATGTTGTGTCCACGGCATAGTCAGCAGCTGGGCTTTTGTATTCTAGCTTTGTAAAATGGGGTGTGGTATTATAATATATTTGCTTGCACGTCAATTGACGGGACGAACGTAAATCTAAGGCTGGATGAGTACTACAGTTGGTAAATTGTAGTGCAGCGTCAACAGTCCATGCTATCTTGAATCCATGCTATTTCCAGTGATGATATGATATATACAATAAGAAGCAAGCAGTCGGCCAGAGACGACAATTTCGCACTCAACAGTCCAAACCACATTCTAACAAACAGATTAAATAAAATACAGGTTGGTACAGGGACGAATTGATCCCGTAGGTGTTGTACACGCAGCGCGTAATTAGGTAAGGTGAAGGGAAGAACATTAAACTCATAAATCACCCCCTAGGGGTTGATTGCCCCGGATGCAAGGTTGGGGCGCATTCAGACTGCCATCTTTGGACAGTAGTGTATACTCACCAGTTGGACTTTTAGAATAGGAATCATCAAGCGAGATCCTCCTCAGAGGCAAATGGCAAAATCTGTCTTATCCAAGCGCATGAGTGTCTGCACGGCAGGACAGATCACAGATCTTTCTTCGTCTCAGTCTCGGCCAGATACTTGCGGTCGTCGTCGCCCTCGACATCCTTGAGGATGGTCTCCATCTCCTTGGTCTGGCGCTTCCACTCGTCCTCGGTCATCTTGGTCTCCCGCCGGAAGAGCTCCTCGTTGGGCTTGCGGTAGCTGCCACCCAGACGGTCCCAGAGGGTGGTGAACTGGCCGTAGTTGTAGTTGAAGTAGAGATGGTGCATGGTGTGGCAGGCGGCGCCGTTGATGACGGGGCTGTTGGCGACGTACTCGCCGTCGTGGATGAGGACGGTCCAGAGGTTGATGAAGCCGAAGAGGAAGACGTAGGCGAGCTTCTGCAGCGGGAAGATGAAGGGGAAGACGTGGTAGGGGACGCTCTGCGACCAGCCGTCGAGCGGGTGGAAGGCGTGCGAGGCGAAGGGGCTGGGCATGATCCACTTGTGGTGCGGCTTGTGCAGGGTCTTGTAGATCAGCGGGTGGTGGAGGCCGCGGTGTATCCAGTAGATGCAGAGATCGGTGAAGGCGATGAACAGCGGGAACTGGATGACGCTGTAGTACGGGAAGGGCTCTTCGGCGAAGGTGTCGTAGAGCTTCGCGTATCCGCGGACTTCGGCGACGAGGAAGGGGGCCGTCAGGAGGGACATGATGGGCATGGACTCCATGGTTTGCTTGATCTCCATGGGGATCTGGTTCTTGAGGAACTTGGGGTGCTTGACGGTGGTCTTGTCCCAGATGAAAATGTAGGAGAGGGTGGCGGAGATGAAGTAGGTGATGATGCCGAAAATCCTGCAGAGCGCAAATTGTTAGGGACGCGATCGGGGAAAGGGGAGGGCGGGCGACGCTTACCAGACGATGAGGAAAAAGCTGAGGAATTGGCGATAGATGTTGTTTCTGGGCCAGGCGCTCATGTAGGCGTACTTGGAGGGCTCCAGATAGAACAATTGGGTGGCGGGCTTGTAGGCGTACGGGTAGGATGCGCCGAAGAGCGACAGCGTGCTGTTGGCGGCATTGGTGAAGTCAGGGAGGGAGATTGACGGCGACAGCGAGAGAGGAACAAGCGCGGAGTACAGGCGATCACCAATGAAGGTGTCCCAGATCTCGAGAGCGATATCCATGGTGGTTCGGAAGGAGGGGTGGAAAAAAGATGGACAAAAAGGGGGACGAAAAACCGGAGTTAACGGGGAAGACCCAGGTGAGGGCGCTGGAGGCGACACACGAATCCAGTCAGTAGGGATCAAAGAGGAAGAAAGGGAGGGAGAGGAGGAAGAAGGACAAGGTGGTGGTGAGAGAAGAGGATGAAGAAGAGAGAAGGGAGAAAGAGAGAGAGGAGGAGATGAAGCGGTTTATTATTATTATTATTATTAACCACGTTCGCGGGTGGCCTATGAGAACATCACACCAGGCGGAACGCTTCCAGCCGGGCCGTTTGATTTGTCTCTGGTCGGGATCGGCTCTTTTGCTCCAACAGTGGGGAGGAGAACTTATGATGTACTCAATGATACTGAATGAGTCTGACGAGGAGTTGTATTATTGTAGGTACTATTATACGAAGTAGTTAAAAAGGGATGGGTGAATTGAGTGTAAAGGATGTACCTGTAGATGAAGTTTTATGCAGCGTGCATACCCGCATCAGGGACATGGTTAATTTTGTACGAACCAACACGGATAGATCCTTAGTACCTTTTACTTTATTCTTGTTCGTATTATGAATAGATAAGATGGATGTCAGAACTTAATACTCGTATGGGTATCAGATTACCTACGCGATGGTATGTAGATACCCTGGGATTCTTCTAGCAAAGGTTATCACGAGGTTATGAGTATTAATATAGATTCTCGCCAATTTCTCTTATGCACATCGCTCATAATTAAGAATGTAGTGTTGCAGTCTAGATGATTACATAATGCATGTCCCCACCACCAAAAAGGAAAAAAGAAAAATCGGCTATTCGCTTCGGGCGCCAAAAGCAGCCAACCCCATCAGCCGCCGGCCGCCGGCGCCCCATTGGCCCCCAAACGATTTCGACCTCCGGACCCAAAGCTCAGCCTAAACCTCTTCTTGCCTACCGCCGACACCAACCTCATTCATCTCTCTCTCTCTACTTCACCTCACCTTCGTCCCTCTTCCACCTGAGGTCTTCTCTGTTCCCCTCTTCAACCTCCCACCTTGGGATTCTTCCACTTCTCTTCTATTCTCTTTCAGCTTTTTGTTCATCTCTTCGAGCTCGTCTTACCATCCCCTTTTCCTCTTTTCTCCCCCGCTCCACTCTCCGACGCCATCGCCTGCGCTTAGTCCCAGGGGCAAGGTGTAAATGCGGCACCTGTGACTGAGGTGCCACTTCGACCTTCCAGCCATCTGAACGATCGTGCCTTTGTCCGCGCATCGACTGCATCGACTACAGCTGCCTCCTCGCGTCAATCTGTTCGCATTCGTCAATCCCTGTTAGAACTGCGATCGCTGCGGCTCTGCTTCCGATCCCACTCCATCCGTATCCCTGTCGACCGACCGCTAGACAAGAACCTGACGCACAATGTATAACACGCATCGCGGAATGGTCGCCACACCCAACTCCCGCCTGCAGGAGTTGTTGGATCAACTGCGCCAGGAGTTTGAGAACCAGTCTCGAAGCACTGGCGAGTTTGAGCATCAATGTATGTGGAATCTGCTTAGTCGTTGGCTTGTTGATGGCTTTGCTGTCATCTACTGGACGCAATCCGTCTTCGACTTCTCTCGGTGTGCGACCGGGCGACCGTCGCATTTTGAGCTTCTTCCGTCTATCTATTATCCGTGAGGCTAACTAAGTGTTGCAGTGACTGGCCAACTCCAAGAAATGGAGATGATCCGACAAAAGATTTTTCAATTGGAGCAGGCGCAGATGAAGATGAAGAATGAGTACGTCACAGAGATACCCTGCTCATGGCTTTCACCCAAGTGTCGCACTAACGCACCCTAGCTACGAAGCCGAAATCCGTGTGTTGCGACATGAACTCGAATCGCGTGGTGTTCAGACGGTCTCGTCTCATATTGCCGGCCCGGCGCAGCATGCGGCCCCGGCTCAGGCCCCCCCGCCTGCATTGGGTCATGGCCCCAGCAATTTGTTTGGTGGCATCATGACCAACCAAGGAGGTAGTGCTCCCGGTCTTGCCCCTCCCCCTCCCCAGGATCAGCAGCCCGCCCAGCATACCCTTCAACAGCCTGCTCCCGCGGCTCAACAAGGCGCGCCGCAACCGGCGCAGAGCTCCTTTGGGGGATATCAGCCTGGTGCTGCTGTGAACGGTATGTTGTGACTGTATTTGCGAGGAGCTCTCTGACGTCTGACTCTCTGGCTTTTGCCCACTTAGGTTACGGTCCTGCTCCTCCCCCGACCGCCTCCCCCGGCCCCGGTAAGCGTCCTCGCCCTGCTCCGGGCCCGGCCACTCCCCAGCAGACTCACCAGCTTGCCTACCCGGACCCTCGGGTCTCTCCTCAACTGGCGCGCCCGACCCCGCCGACCCAGCCCATTGTTCGTGACCGCCCGGGAAACATGCTCGCCAATTGGAACCCCGATGACCTGCCGGCGTCGCAAAAGCGCGAGGGTGCCGATTGGTACGCCGTCTTCAACCCGGAGGTGCAGCGCGTGTTGGACGTCGAACTGGTCCACCATCTGGTGCATGACAGTGTGGTTTGCTGTGTTCGTTTCAGCCGGGATGGCAAGTACCTGGCCACGGGCTGCAACCGCTCCGCCCAGATTTTCGATGTCACTACCGGCCAAAATGTCGCGACTCTGCAGGATGAGAATGTGGACAAGAACGGAGATCTCTACATCCGCAGTGTTTGCTTCAGCCCGGACGGCAAATACCTCGCCACCGGCGCGGAGGACAAGCAGATTCGCGTAAGCTTATTTCCACATCGTCTTTGGACAAGCGAAACTGACTCGCATACAGGTTTGGGATATTGCCGCTCGATCGATCAAGCACATCTTCACTGGACATGAACAGGATATCTACTCTCTTGATTTCGCTGGTAACGGGCGGTACATCGCTTCCGGCAGTGGTGATAAGACTGTTCGTCTTTGGGATATTCTGGATGGCAAGCTGGTCTACACTCTGAGCATCGAAGACGGCGTGACCACTGTGGCCATGTCTCCTGACGGCCACTATGTCGCGGCGGGTTCGCTGGACAAGAGCGTGCGCGTCTGGGACACCACCACCGGCTATCTGGTGGAGCGCTTGGAGAGCCCGGATGGCCACAAGGACAGTGTGTACTCTGTCGCGTTCGCGCCCAACGGCCGTGATCTGGTCTCTGGTAGTCTCGACAAGACCATCAAGCTCTGGGAGCTGAACGTTCCTCGCGGCGCGTACCCCGGCGCTGGCGTCAAGGGCGGCAAGTGCATCCGCACCTTTGAGGGCCACAAGGTATGTTACTCAAGGCACGTCCGATTCGTCAATACTTACATTGGGATAGGATTTCGTGCTCAGCGTTTGCCTGACACCTGACGGACACTGGGTCATGAGTGGTTCGAAGGATCGCGGTGTCCAGTTCTGGGACCCGATCACCGGCAATGCGCAGATGATGCTCCAGGGCCACAAGAACTCTGGTAAGTTTTCTTCAGATAATGACTTAGCATTAAATTAACCGATTCAGTCATCTCCGTTGCGCCCAGCCCTACGAACAACCTCTTTGCCACTGGCAGTGGTGATATGCGTGCACGGATTTGGAGGTATGTTTGGCAGAGAACACAATGAGGAGCTGTGCTGACAAGACTGGTAGATACTCTACTTATACCGGACGGTGATGTATTGGATTTGGGAAGCTTTGGCGCACGATCTTTTCTTTGTTTTGTCGACTATTCCATCTAACGCGATCAACCTTTTGGGGCTCTGGTGGTAGAGAATGGCCCTGCCACCATTTCATGTGAATGATGTCTGGGTCCATATGCGGAAATGAAAAACCAAGCGTTGTATGGTAGTGGTTCATGTCAGCTCGCGAGTTCTGGGGCTTTAATGTTTGGACTTGTAGTGAATTTGAGTTGTGGATGATCCAGTTCCTAGATGTTGGTATTGTCAACATGTTTGGTGTCACGACGAGCTGATGATCGAAAAGTAAGATCGGCTTGTGCAACACCCTACCTACTTCAGTAATAGGATCTCTACGAACCCAGGAAGAAGAGGTACCGAAGATTAGCCGTCAACGATGAAGCTTGCAGATTAGACGAAGCCATTCGTGTATGACTATTACTTGCGCCTGGGAATACGAGACACGAGCTCACTAAATGATTTGGAGAGTCCAGTCCGTCCTGGCGATGGCCTTCACAAGCTCGTCCCGCTTCATACAATCCCACCTTCCTGAACGACGGTAGATTTCATCCTCTATATCCCTCAGCGCGTTGCCCGATCTCAGTCCAGGGAAGAATTCACCCGGAATCGAGGTAGTTATCCGATAAGAAGGCTCCTGCGACTCGAAGACGACCGTCCGCTCAGGGCCCCCTCCCTCAAAGACAGCAAGAATGCGGTATTCATCCGCCGCAATGCCGCCTTCAACGAGGGACTCATCTTCGTGGGCATCTAGCCTTCTTTGAGGATCTGATCCCGAGTTGGAGTATTCGAGCGTACGGGCAGTGTCCTCTGCGCTGTACACGTGAAGCAAATCCTGTGCCCATACCGCAATCACGACGATGTCGGTTTGTCTATCGCTTTCCAACTTTTCCCGTACTCGAAGGGGCCCGTCTCCAGCTACTGAAGAAGGAGAGGAAGGGTGTGGGTGTGTATGTCCATGATAGATGGTCATCGAAGGCTTGCGATGATAGGGAGCCGTTGTAGGTTGTTTGTCGTGCACAGAGGTAGCCGTTGCGGAAGCTAGAGTTAGCATGGCACTCGGTGCGGAATAGGATTGATGGTTTCTGGTTTGCTGGTAATAGATTGAACATGGTCTATGGATGTGGTTAGCATTCGCACGTGGATAGACAGCGTCTCTGGCTCTGGGAAGAGAATATGGAGACTTTCCTGACGCAAGGAAGTCTACGCTTGTCACCGGATATCGAAGTGAGGGTCCACGACAGACGCCAGGAATGCGCCAGTGGAGACAATCCGGAGATGGAGTGGGGAGGAAAAGATCATACTGCCTGCAGGTTTTGTAGTGTACTCCGTATACTCCGTAGGAGGCCGGAAGCTGATGTGAGAGGACCCTGTCGCGTCCGCGTGTGATGAGATAGAGCCGATTGCATTGCAGCTTACATACACTATACAACCCATGTGTAATGTCTCTCATTGTAAATAGACTAGAATCCAGATCTCAATGCCAAAGTTATCTATCTATCTAGCTCTCTATCAGACTATATGGATCAACCCATCACGACGTCAGGTGGACCCCCTACTAAGTATACCAACTCCTCCACGCGCAACCCAATCATAACCTCCCCACAGCCGTGTGTTGGTCTGGCGTCGTCTGACAAGCAGACAAGCAGACAGACAGCCCTGACGATCGATCACGAGGCGACGAACTCTGTGAATGGAATATTTACTTTGGCCCGTTTAGCGCCCGCAACCCCCAACCCGATGCGAAGGCGCATGCATGCATGCCACGCACCAGTCAGGCCTTGCGGTGTCGTGGGATTTCCGGGGCCATGGGCGGCTAGGGGGAATTTTCTTACAGGTTGCCGTGGATGAGTTGTGGAGGTTGTCATGTAGAGAAGAAGATGTGACTAGGGTGTGTTTGCTGCGTGCGGACAAGACAATGGATCTCGGATGCGAAAGGTATAAGCATCTACAGGATCAGGGCAGTAGATTTGCCATTTGCCACTCCATGCAGCAAACACAAGACGCCTGTTGCTCACCACCGACGTCGTGATGACATTGACATTGACCATTCGCTCCAGGCTGTTGGCCTCCCCCGGCTGGATGCATCGTGTTGAGTGTAGTAAGAAAAAGCGGTGTCATCAGGCGGGACCTGATCGGGCAAGAGTCTCAGCGCGGAGTAACTAGTTAGTTAAGCAAGATCCAACACAGTCAGCCTGTTGTCTCTACGGAACATCCAGATTGAGTGGACCACCGTTTGTGATGTATCCCATTGCCGCTCCACTCGGTCGTGTGCTGATCAGGCACCATCATCATTACATCTTGTCTTGCGACGAACCGCCGGCATGCTGTGTCGGGGGTATGCACGTAAAATTAGTTCCTGGATGGGGCTGATCTGGGCGGATCCGATCTTCGATGTGGCAAGACAGACAGACGGACAGACATACCAGTATACGGAGTATATGCGTACGGCGTACTAGTACCCCGTACATGAATGGAGGCGCCAGCTGGGTTGAACAGATCCAATAGTCCGCACTAGGGCGGTTAGTCCCGTAACTAGTGACACCATTTGAGACTCTACTGTATCTGTCTTCATCTTCAAAGAGGATAGTGTATACTCCGGACGATCCGATCTCAGGTAAAAGGGAAGGGAAGGGAAATGACCAGTCGACCGTCCGTCCGCGAGGCGAAGAAGGCCCGGCCCGTTACGGCAACGGGGAAAAGAAACCGACATGCTCCTCTCTCGGTCTGTCCTTGCAGCTTATTCTCCTTTCCCTCTGCACGAGAGGTATCTGCCCCGAGTCTGACACGCCAAGCGGCCCACGTAATGGTCTCTTCCGACAACAGAAGAGGAACCTCCGAGTGTTACACCAGAGCTCACATCAGATTGCGCTGCTGAAAGACATGACCAGTTGGCGCTCGTATCCAGGGCCGTTCAGTTGGTTGGTCGATCCAGGTAGGAAGAAGTCCTGATCCACCGAGGAGAACCGAGACGCCGTGAGATGAGAAGCAATCACATCCCAGTACTCCGTCCGGAGTACAATACAAGTAGTCCTGATTTTTTAATAATGAAAAATCCAAACCCTTTCCTCGTAACCACTGCATCAAGAATGAGGCTTTCCCCTCCTGGGAAAGGTTACGTATGCAATACGGGTCCGATCGGCTGCACGGCCGACCAAATGGACGAGTTAAACATTTGTCGCCAGTCGCGGCTGTTGCGAAGAACCCGCGAAAAAAGAAAAAAAAAGGAAGAGAAGGCATCCACCGGCCACTGCAGGTCCACGCCAAGGAGTGGAGGCCCTGCAATCGCACTATTTGATCGGCGCGTCCCTTGGGCTGTCTGTCTGGCTGTCTGTCTGTCTAGTCGTGTGTTGCTCTGCCGCCGAACCATGGGGAAAAAGTACCTTCGTTGGTAGTTAGGTGGGAGGTAGTCTATACTCTGCTCCAGGCCTCCGCGGACAAGACATGACATGACAAAAGTCAGTCCATAAGACAGCCCTCATGATCTCCTCCCCCCTCGCAACTAGATCATTCGTCGTTCAGCTCAGCTCAGCTTAGCCCGTGACCGGACCTGTCGGGTTTGCTGCAGCCTCACTGCAACCAGTCTGAGACTAACCATCGCCTCCGAATCCGCATGGGGGGGAGCGATGCATGGCTGGACTCCATGCCCCCACCGTCGTCGCCTCGATCCATCCATCCATCCATCCATCCCGACACCAAGACTCACTTGCAGGGAGCTAGTTCGTCTGCGGTGGAATGAATGGGCTCTAGGCCTGAGTCAGACGGGCGGCCGGGAGAGCGACGGCGGCGGGGATTCAGCCCCGGATCCAGACGTACGTTCACGAAGGATCTCCTGGTGGTGGTGATGAAGATCGGCCCAGCTTGGCTTGTTGACTGACGGGGGGTGGAGCCAAATAGGGGATCCCATGTACCTGTAACTAAGGTGCTCCATACGGAGTTCCTAGTACTCCGTAGTTAGAGGCTGTCATCTCATCCGGGTGACGTTTCGGTTGAAGTCATCTACCTACGTACTAACTACAGTAGGTAGATACCTGCATCGATCCTAGGAAGAGGATCGACAATCTCACAATCTCGTCACAGGATATCCTGCCTCCATGGTCGTAGTCAGGTACTAGCTCGCCAGGGAACCCGACCAACGGGGAGGCTCGTCTACGGATCGGGATTGTCAAGTTGGCTGGATCCCCATTTGCTCGCGGCGTCTGGTGGTGGCTGGACGGTTTTTCATTGTCGCTGCCCTCCCCCCTGGTCTAGTCCACTCCACCGAGTTGGGTCAGATGATGGATGATGGGTGATAGTGATGGGATGCGGGATTGCCTGGTATGATTATGATTACGAGGGAGGAGTTGGGGGGAGAGAGAGCATTGGGTTATCGGAGGGAGTGATATGGTTATGGAGAATTCTGTTAGTCGTGGGATTACGACGATCGATCGGGAGAGGTTGCCTTGCTGATGGTAACGGACCAAGAATTAGGTAGCTTCATCCAGGGACTTTGCAGTGATGCATTGAGTACTGTATTCCTGTATTATATTATATTATGTACAGATGGATTCAAGGAAGGTCTGTGGCGAGGTACTTTGTCATTCTATGTAGAATATATACTCTACATAGACACTAGACTCGACTCTCGAACGGTAAATACTAAATAGTGAATCGGAAGACCGTGATGGATCCGCGATTGGAGCAGCGCAGGGACTAACTCGTTAGCTAGAGGAGAACAGCTGCACGAAACGTCATGATTCTTTCTTGCAAATGCCATTTTGTCATTGGGTGCCTTTTCTTCCCCTTTTCTCTGATTTTTCCTACTTTTTTTTTTTTCTCTAAGCGTCTTGATCCCTGTTGCTGGCCTCCCCCGCTGCTTCCACTGCCCTGGGACGGATTGAGCATTATTTTAGTATTCTTTTAGTGTGATTATTCCATTCTATTATTTATTCCTTTATTTTATTTTATTCATTTTAATTTAATTCTATTTTTTTATTCACGGTAATTGATTATTCTTATTTTCTTCGACTTTATTCTTCTTCCTTGACTCGGTGTATATCTAGTTCTAGATCTCCATCTTATACCCTGCCTCCTCCACCTCCTCTTCCACGATCCCATTCTGCATGCACAACAAGAAAGCAAATAAAGCCAAAAGAAAAGAAAGCCCTTCTCTGCTGCTGTTCCGAGTTCTCGGGTGCATTGTTCCATAATCCGATTATATACTTCTTCATTCAGACCATTCTTCTACACTGGAAGGCCGGTCCACGGTGGAATCACTCGGATCTTACAGTAAGTTCTCACAATCTAGAGCTATACAAATCAATACTGACAGCAGCAGCTCGCTTGGTCTGATTTGGTTTCCACCCTCCGGACATCTACGTATAAAGAACCGCAAGACAGCAAGACAGCAAAACAGATCAACTCTACACGGCAAACTACTCAACCACCAGACATGGAGACTGCAGAACCCGTGGCCTACGACTTTCCCTCCCATGGCGTCGGTCGTCGCATGATGACCTCCAGTATCAACCATAACTTTTCCTTCTACGCCAACCCGCCAGCATCTTTCCCACTCCCCTTCCACCAGTCTTCCTCTGCACCCTACGGATTCAGCCATACCCTCAGTCACCACCATCACCACCACCACCAACACCCTCACTACCAACCATTCTTCGTCCCCAATCATCAGCCGTTGAGCTCTCCGCCCGTGCGCCTGTCCTCCGAACCACCTACTCAGCCCATCCCGGACATCCGTCCGGCCAAAAACGCCGTCCATCGACTTCCCCGAGACTCCCTGGTCAAGGACGACCTCCACTCCCACTCGCAGTCTCCCACCGGCCATTCTCCAACTGGCTCCTCCGCCCTGGCCAAGAACTGCTGCGCAAACGAAGTCGAGTTCTCCACCGAGGTCGATATCCTCATGAAAGCCATCCAGGCCAAGGCCACCCCCCAGACGTCGACTACGCAGTCGCTTCCGCCCCTTCAACAGATCACCCACGCGGGGAACAATGGCTTTCCCCAGCCCTACGCCATGCCCGCCTCCGCCAACCCGCGCTCTACCGTCGTGGTTGACGAGCAGCCCGCGCGGTCAGGCAAGAAGCGCAAGTATACCTGCACTCTGCCGAACTGCGGGAAGAGCTTTGCGCAAAAGACCCATCTCGACATTCATATGAGGGCGCATACCGGGGACAAGCCGTTTGTATGTTCATCTCAGCCTGCATGTGTCTGTTACTCACTGACTGGGATCTAGATCTGCAAAGAGCCCTCGTGTGGCCAGCGTTTCTCCCAGCTGGGGAACCTCAAGGTAGGAATCCCTCCATTGTGAGTGCACTACGAAGCTAACGAGTGCAGACCCATCAACGCCGCCATACCGGCGAAAAGCCCTTCTCCTGTGATATCTGCCAGAAGCGCTTCGCCCAGCGCGGCAACGTCCGCGCGCACAAAATTACCCACCAACACGCGAAGCCGTTTACCTGCCTGCTGGACGACTGCGGGAAGCAATTCACGCAGCTGGGAAACCTCAAGGTACGCCCCGCCGCCGCTGATAGCAAGTTCCTCTCTAACGCTTCGACAGTCCCACCAGAACAAGTTCCACGCCACGACGCTTAAAGACCTCACCCTGAAGTTCTCGCAGATGTCCGAGAACGAGCCCATGACCCCGCACGACCGCAAGCTCTGGGAGTACTTTGCCACCCTGTACAAGAACAGCAACAAGGGCATCAAGGGCCGCGGCAAGGACCGGCGCATCTCGCCCTCCTCTAAGTCGGGCAGTCGGCAGTCCTCGGCCGCGAGCGAGGAGAAGCTGCGGCGGTCGAGCTTTGAGGATTCGTCTGTGTATACTGGTGGTTCCAGTGATGAGGAGGATGCGGATCATTACTATATTGATCGACAGAGTCATTGATCATGTCGATGTCGATGTCGATGTCTTCGGGTTTGTTTTGATTTGTTGTTCACGATACCAGGTTTGTTTGCATTTCGTTTTAGCTTTGTTAGATTCGGCTTCAGTGGGAGCAGCAGGAGCAGCAGGAGCAGCATTACATTAGGCGTCGAGAAAGAATCTTGTATAACAAGTTGTTCTTTATGGAGTATAATGAGAATAATGAGTCATCGTCCTAAGCCAATGCACGAGGCATAGGGCATAGTTATAGGAACGAATGCAATCCATTGGATACTTCTATTCTTTCTCGCCATCTTGGCTTATAAGTCTAGGCAAATACACCCGCGTATTCTCATACACCAAAAACGTCACCCACGTACTAGGCAACACCCGGAACAGATTCGTCCCAAGCCCCTTATAAAACCCGGCCACGCCCTCCATCACCCAGATCTGCCTTACCGCATCCCCAACCCCGCGATACACCAGATGCGCATCATACGTCTGCAGCCGCGCCCGTAGCACCTGATACGGATACGTCACGGCCCCGGCAAACACCTTCGCCAGACTCGAGATGACAAAGTAATCTGCGTTCCCGAGCGCCGCGCCGCCGCCGCGCATCTCAACCCGCCGCACCTTCAGCCGCTCATACGCCATAAACTGCAGCGCGCCGTGGCTGACCCCAAACAGCGACGGCAGCAGCCCGCGGTAGAACCCGCGCAGCCCGTCGGCGGCGTAGATGCGCGCGACCCCCGTCGCCAGCGACGCGTACGCCCCCGGCGCCCCCGCCCCCGTCGACAGCATCCGCGTCTTGAGCACCCAGATTGGGGTTCGTGGCTAGCGAGGTGAGCAGGCCGGCGCCGCCGGACGCGGCGAAGTACTCCGCTGCGCTGAGGGGGGTGTCCGGTGCGGCGGCGTGCAACCGCCGCAGGCCGGATTTGAGGTGGTTGTAGCTGAGGAAGTAGAGGGCCCAGCTGGTCGAGTTGCCGAGGAGGTTTGGGGACAGGCCGCGGTAGAAGGCGGATGGGCCGCCTTCGTGCTGGAGGATGTGTCGGATTATGCGGAGGGAGCTGCCGAGGCGAGATGGGGATGTTCTGTCCACTGATTTATATGTTAGTATGTGAATTGGGATGTAGGGTTGACGGGGTGAGGGGGTATACCTTGTAGTCGGGTCTTGATCAGGTCCAGTGGGTGCAGGCACAGCGTCGAGACGATCCCGGCCGTGAAGCCGGCTACGGTCTCCACAAAGGATGACGAGAGGCCATCCTGAGCAGTCATGAACTTGACGCTCCTGGTTTCGAGGGTGGTATGGTTACTGTGAGGAGGGAGAGTGGGTGAGGTGAAGTTGAGACTTTCGGGTTGTCGGATGCTTGGCGCCGAAGAAGCCGACTTTACCTTATCGATGACATGGACTGTCTACAGAGGTTTTCTATATCGTTTTAGATCGAAATACACCTTTTATGGATATAGTAACACAGTATAAATACAAAAGTCAATGTAAACTCCAGACATCGACATAACAGAGACCCCTATCCGTCATTACGCTCCGGCAATCCGCGGTTTAGGACAGTGTATCGAAGGAAAACCATGGTGGTAGATTGAAAATCGAAGTGTTCGTTCGTTAGGCAAGCGGCGAGAACAGCCTATCCTCAGGTTAGTTCGTGCGTGGTGCTGGTGCCAGACAGGGATCGCGTACTTGAACAGAGACGGTCTGGGCTCGCTGTAGGTGTAGCCTGTAAAAGGTCAATACTCGTCCCAATATCCATCTGAGGCTGAGGCCGTGAAGCCGAGTGCTCCATACCGAGATAGACAATCAGAGGCAGGTATCCGCTACGCGCATCATATTAGTCTAATCTGTCTGCGAAATAGCACAGACAGCACTCACTAGTGGATGGCAACACGGGAAACGTCAATAACCTTGGAGATGCGCTCCTGTAGAAAAACGTGAGTATGAGTCTGACGGATCAAGGACAGCGCATTCTGGGCGTTACCTTGGTTTCCTCAGAGAACTGGACCATTTTGACGGGTTGTATATGAGAGAATAGACCGTAGATCACGAAAGCAGAACCCGGGTGTGTTGCGTTGAAGAGGGAGAAAGATGGTGTCGGGCGGAGAGACGGCGGAGCGGACAAGACGTCGACCGCCAAAGCTCAAAGTTTTCCCGACGCCGCTAAGCTGCCGACGCAGAGGTACAATCAACGTCCAGCAGCTTCATCCTCACAATCTTCTCTCACCACAATACTCGCTACCCTCAACCTCACTATTCATCTCTAGTTGTCTTTCTACCATATTCATCAATTCTTCTGTTAATTGCCGAACCCCACGCACACAGCCGTCGCCACGTCCACAGGTCGCCATGTCCGGCGCAAGACACTGGTACGCGATCTCCATCACTACCAACGTGCCCCCATTAACAGCCACAGGGAACAGGATAAGGAGGCCACCGTCTACGTGGGCAACCTCGATGAACGCGTCACAGACAGCTTGGTATGGGAGCTCATGCTTCAGGCCGGGCGCATCGTTAATGTTCACCTGCCGAAAGATCGAGTCACACAGTCACACCAGGGCTATGGTTTCGTCGAGTTCATAAGCGAGGAGGATGCCGAGTATGCGTCGCGGATAATGAACGGCATCCGTCTGTACGGCAAGCCGATACGCGTGAACAAGGCGTCGGCCGATAAGCAGAAGTCGGTGGAGATCGGCGCAGAGCTCTTCGTTGGGAACCTCGATCCGATGGTGACGGAGCAGGTGCTGTACGATACGTTCAGCCGGTTCGGCAATCTGATCAACATACCAAAGGCAAGCCTCTTTTCCTGGGTCCTGATCGAACGACTCAACTAACCGGCACAGGTCGCGCGCGATGATAACAACCTCTCCAAGGGCTACGGGTTCGTGTCGTTCGGGGACTTTGAGTCCTCCGACGCGGCCATCGCCAATATGAACGGCCAGTATCTCATGAACAAGCAAGTCTCCGTGCAGTACGCCTACAAGAAAGACGGCAAGGGCGAGCGACACGGCGACCAGGCCGAACGAATGCTCGCCGCCCAAGCCCGCAAGCATAACGTCCGCGTGCCCGCCCAACCGCTGCCGCCGCAGTTCTCCGGACCCGGCACCCCGATGGTGCCGACTCCCATGGCAAACGGAGACACGTCGAGGCCGATGAGCACAGGGCCCCCGACGCCCAGCGTGGGCTTCCCCAATGTGCCCCCTCCGCAGACGAGCCGTCCAGGTCCTCCTCCGCCCGTGTCTCTGGCTAATCCTCCGCCCGGTCTGCCCGCGCGGCCGCCGCCCTCCCAGGCGGGGTACGGCGGACCGCAGACTTTCATGCCCCCCGGGTTCAACAACGCAGGCCAGCAGGCTCCGTTTCCGCCGCAGGCTGCTCCTCCGCCGGGCTTTGCGCCTCCCGGCTTTGGTCCTACGGGGACTCCTGGCGCGCCGCCGCCGTTGCCCCCTGGCTTCCAGCAAGGGTATGGTCGAGGACGGTGATTGTATTTTTAAGCATAGGCAGAAAACTAAGCATGATGTGACGATTCAGACAACATGTTATTGGCCAGAATTCCACCGAATATAATATCTTAATGCTTAACAAGAACAGGTCTTGGGACTGGAGTAGTTTATTCCTGGCCTTCGCTATGCTGGCTCCGTCTGATGTCGTAGGACAGCATCTCCACCACGGAATGTAGACAAAGAAACCATATGCTACCGATTACGTCGTTACGACCAAAGAAAGAACACGCTTACCAACAAAAAGAAACAGAAAAGAGTGAACGCATGACCGCAAACCCACAAGCGCAAAGCTCACGAGAAGGACACGAACTTCGGATCCCTCGGCCGGCCGTCAGGCCCGATATTGTTCTTGGCGAACCGCTGTTCCGTGTAGATGCGACGCGCCTCGTCGAAGCCGACTTTCCGCTGCTTCATGATCTTCTTCACCTCCTGCTTGGCCCTGTGGTCGAGTCCGCCGCGCGCATCCCCGTCGGCGATGTTCCCGGCGAGATCGAACTGCGACGAGCTGAGGCCGGCTTCTAGGTCGCCTGCGAAGCTCGACGGAAGTCGGTGGTAGATGTACTCTGGGAGAGGGATGAGAGGGAGCCAGCGGGAGCGCGTGAGGTACAGCGCTGTTGGTCAGTTAGAGGGATTGGATTCTTGGCTGGGAGTTCTGATAAGACCACGTACCGGTGCCGCAGATGAAGACGGAAAAGGTGAGGAAAGAGAGAAGGTAGTAGGTCATGATGAAAGTCGTATGTAGGGATGTTGCGAGTAATGAGTGCGTGGTGAGAGCGAATGGACTGAGGTACTAGGCCTCCAGGTTCGGATCCGGCGGCAACGCTCGGAGGTATGCGACGAGTCGACTTGTCTTCAGGAAGTAGTTGATGAGTCGGGTGTTCTGGTCTGGCAGGGAGCTGCCACAACCAGCCGCATACAAGACATCTAGATCTGTCGATAGGATGCGAGAGGATGATGGTTGAGGTTGAGGTTGCCTGGAGATGCTTGACGTAGTCAGCATTGGCGGAGCCACGTGATATCACATTCCATTGCCGGCACCTTGAGGATCTTAACAGTGCCGCTTAAAGATGGATAGAGTGTCTGCTTATTGTGATTTGTCGTAAGGCTATTCAATTAGTTGCTTTACATTACCAGTGGCTTTGCATATGGTTGCGACAACACCTGAGCTACATACTATTGCAGCGCAAGGATGGTTCTCAACACAGATCATTACTGAAGTCGACTGTATACATAGTCTCCATGGATCGAAACTATGCATATACCTGTAGCTGAAATAGCAGTTAGAATAGTTTTACAGAACACAATAAAGCATCAGACCTCTGCTCTATATAGCCAAGCTGAGTCATTAGATGCCTTCAATATCAGGCACCCAACAAAGCTATTCCCGAAACGGACGTCTTAGCGAGAGCGGCGGCCAGCCATTCTTGGCGTTGGCACACACTGAATTCACCTCAGGGCTTCAAGATTCAAGATACCTGCCGTGCGACGATTCCGACTGTCCTTCAATTCCCTCGCCCAAGCCAACCCACACCGTCACAATGGCCACGAACGTTTCCAGCGACCTGATCTGGCAGATCACCCGTACGTGAATATTAAATTTCGCAGCCCGAGAAAGTCCTACGATGGTTCCGGAGAAATTGTTTTTGGACCTGCGACGCAGTCTCTCTCTTCGACAGGAAAAACTCGGGCTTTGGAGGAAACAGGCTAATTCATGTCTGAACAGGCACCCAGAATGCTTATCTGGTCAAGCGTAACAGCGGTGGTGGCTCCCAGTTCTCCCGCGACCCTCTGAACCTGCAGAACAAGCACTCGTTCAAGGTACGCCATTCACACCTTAGCAAACACGCGAATCTGTACGGGTACTAATGATTTGGTAGTACGCTGGATACGCCAACACCAAGGTATTTCTACACCGCGTCCGCCGCAGATGGCATGTCGACCAGGAACCCTGACCCTCGATGTTAACCCGATGATAGGCCGTCGGTGTGCAGGCCACTGAGAACGGTGGTGTTGCCGTCCTCTCCAAGAAGCCCGGCAACCCCCAGCAGCCCGCCAAGAACCTGGTCACCGTGACCTACGGTCCTAGCACCGGCACCCGCAAGTACGTGCCAACTCCCCCCGGGATCATCCATCTGGACGGCCCGACTAATACCTGTGCAGGATCTACAAGGGTGTCGCCGACAAGACCGCTAAGAACGGCTACCGCGCTGATCTCCGGGAGGATGCTGTTGCTCGCGTGAGCGCCGTCCGCCGCTCCCAGAAGGTCAAGAAGGCCACCCCCGCCCGGAAGCCCCGTGGTGCCCAGGCCCGCAAGGCCGCGGAGAAGGACTCGGAGTAAATGTCCGCGGGGAGGATTTGGGAGAGAGTTCTCGGAGAGAAGACATTGATCGCAAGGAATGGGCGCGGCGAGCATTTTAAAAAAGCGCCATGCTGGTCAAGGGCGGAAGCGTCCGTTGTAATCTAGCAAGCAGTCTGTTGCTACCGGGAAAATTCAGCGTGGTTCCCGCCAGCCATCTCCAAATCACCAGGACGAAGTTGAAGTCAAAGCAAGATTGGATCAAGGGGATGTTGACGTAGATGGGGATGACGGAAAAAGAATCATCATGGGTGTAGAGGGATGGCACATGTCTACAGCCGTCCGTCGGGCCGACATCTCACGTAGAACTGGGCCAGGCAAGTCAACACCCGCCTTTTTCCGAGAGAAGATGGGTCAATGGATTAATTCGGGACTGTTCCTCGGGGAGTGTTGCAATGAGGGAAGTGCCGGAATCTGGGGATCAGTATTCGAGTTCCATGGTGTTCTAACAGTACCTAGGACCTTAGTATGGCCCGTGGGATAGAGTCATGGGTAATGGTAATACCGTCCGGCCAGTTCCCGACAGTTTGCCGTGTACAGTATGTAACTAGTATGTTGAGGGAGAACGGAAGATACGTGAGATCCCCTTCCCCCACATGTGATCAGACCTTACCTATAGGTGCCTCCAGGTATATAACTAACTCCCTGCTCCTCCGCTTCCCCGGTCACTCTTCTCGTTGCTCGGTCAATCTCCATCTTCTATCCTTCTATCCTTCTATCCTTCCATCCTTCTGTCCCTCAATGTAAGTCTCCCCCACCGGACGGTCCCTTCCGGTTAGCATCAGCTGTCACGGTACTCCCCTCTACCCCTCACCGAAGCCCCTCCATGGAGTAATTCTCCTGCTTCGGTTTCCACCTTGTGCATCCTCGCAACCATCTTCATCCATCTTCCTCTCTTCAACTCTCCTCTCAGCTAATTGACTTGTTTCGTTGTACAGCTCCCCATCTCCTCTCCATCCACTTCAATCACCATGGTTAAGGCTGGTGCGTCACGAACTTCCTTCCGCCCTCTCTCCCACATCACTAATCCATTCATAGCTGTTCTTGGTGCCTCGGGTGGCATTGGCCAGGTCCGTATTCTCTTTGTCCCTCCTCCTCATCTCCTTTCTCTAGCTAATCATCGTTCCCACCAACAGCCCCTCTCTCTCCTCCTCAAGGCCTGCCCTCTGGTCGACGAGCTGGCTCTCTACGATGTGGTCAACACCCCCGGTGTTGCCGCTGATCTCTCTCACATCTCCTCCGTTGCCGTATGTGACCAAACACGAATAGACTGCCAGAATCTGTGTTGACTGACGGTGTAGAAAATCTCCGGTTTCCTCCCCAAGGATGACGGCCTCAAGAAGGCTCTCACCGGCACCGATGTCGTCGTCATCCCTGCTGGCATTCCCCGTACGCTCCTCAAACATCAACCCCATTCCTCCGCATCTAACACACCACAGGCAAGCCTGGTATGACTCGTGATGACCTCTTCAAGGTCAACGCCAGCATCGTCCGGGACCTCGTCAAGGGCATCGCCGAGTTCTGCCCCAAGGCCTTCGTCCTCATCATCTCCAACCCCGTCAACTCCACCGTCCCCATTGCCGCTGAGGTCCTCAAAGCCGCTGGCGTCTTTGACCCCAAGCGCCTCTTCGGTGTGACCACCCTCGACGTTGTCCGTGCCGAGACCTTCACCCAGGAGTTCTCCGGCCAGAAGAACCCCGCTTCCGTGAAGATCCCCGTCGTCGGTGGCCACTCCGGCGAGACCATTGTGCCCCTCTTCAGCAAGGCCACCCCCGCTTTCCAGATCCCTGCCGACAAATATGAGGCTCTTGTGAAGCGTGCGTACTCGAAGAATGGTCTTCACATCTACCACGGCTAACACTCTTCCAGGCGTCCAGTTCGGTGGTGATGAGGTTGTCCAGGCTAAGGATGGCGCTGGTTCCGCCACCCTGTCCATGGCCTATGCTGGCTACAGGTCTGACCCCTCATAGTCGAACCCCTCTTCTTATGCTGACAATCATAGATTCGCCGAGAGCGTCATCAAGGCCTCCAAGGGCGAGACCGGCATCGTCGAGCCTACTTACGTCTACCTGCCCGGCGTCCCTGGCGGTGAGGAAATCGCCAAGGCTACTGGTGTCGAGTTCTTCTCTACTCTCGTGACTCTCGGTGTAAGTAAATTCCACGGCACGCGCCCATCGATTTTCAGAAGCTAATCGTCACAGACCGACGGTGCCCAGAACGCCATCAACATCCTCGACGGCGTCACCGACCAGGAGAAGAAGCTCCTCGCCGCCTGCACCGAGGGCCTCAAGGGCAACATCGAAAAGGGCATCAACTTCATCAAGAACCCTCCTAAGTAAACGCCCATCCCCATCCCTCAAGCCACGGGTCGGTCACCCACCTCGGTGGCTGCGCCTGCACATTCGAACCCATCGCGGGGATTACCTCGGTGGTTTCACTTTGAATCCAGGAAATGGAAGAGCCTCGCTAATCAAGGAATCCCGGAAAGATAGGCTTTGAGCATGAGACTTATGAAGACGAATGAGTGAACGTGGCAATGGATCGGTTCCGTTAGAATTGGAGGTTAGGTTCGCTTAAAGACATGCAGAAATGAAAATAATATTCACTCCCCCGGAGTCTTTGTAGAACTCTGCCTGAGTTAGGGTGTGTTATCTACCCGCGAACATAGAGTCCAGCTCTATGCTGCTGTAGCATGGTGACATGGAGTCGCAGGCACCAGAGCAACTCACGGCTTCGGCTGGAGGGTCTTGATCTGGAACGTCGCCCCAGGAAGTTCAGTCGTCTCCGCCTGGACCGTCGTACTGATCCCGAGGTTGGCCAGCGCCCCGCGAATAACACCACACGGGAACCACAGATACTGCGCTGGTCAGATTTACTCTGGTCGCTCGTATGTCAGGTAGCTTACCGCTTGAGCCATCGACACCGCCTCACTACGAACAGACATGCTCATCCGCGCGAACGGCCGGAAAGAATTATCCGTCAGAACATAGACTCCCTGCGTAGCGGTCATTAGCCTGCACCACCCGAGCAGCCTGCGCCTGCACTATCAACATGGCCATACCCGATGATTCGTCTTGAGATTGTCAACCTGTTTCCGGAAAAGAACCGTCCACAAATCCTTGCATAGGAACTTGATCACGTCGAGATTATCCGTGAAGCGAGGCCGGTCTCGCGCGAAGCTAGACAAGCGTTAGCACCGTCCTCTCCTCTCTATCCTCTCCTTGAAGAGAAAAGACACCCCGCAGGGAAGGGACAGACATACCGCTCCGCAAGACCCTGACCAACTCTATAACCCAGCGTCTCGAGGCGGAAGAAGGTGGTTTCGCGCAGCTCGTCGTCGTCCGGGGCGTGCTCGGCGCTGGAGAGGTCTTTTGCCAGGCGCTCGGCCATGGGCACGAGCTCTATTAGGAGGAAGTCGAGGCAGGAGGCGCTGAGGAGGCGGGCGGTTGGGTCGGTGGTGAAGGGGGAGGTGGGGGCGTCGAGGGACATGGTTCGTATTGTGTTGTGTCGCTGTTGTGTCGGGGTCGGTTGCGGAGGTAGTTGCAGGTGTTTTAGGTGTGGTTGCGGGGTGGTGGAGCGATTGCGCGGAGAGGATCAGGTTGGATTATTGAAGAGGATGCGTGGATTTCATGGTCTGGTGTTGGGTATCTGACATGCGATGTGGTGGTAAGTAGTAAGTAGTTGGTAAAGGTACAGGGGCGGATGGCTGAGGAGGAATTTCCGATAACCGATAAACACCAGCGGATTAGCCCCACCGCCCACCATGTTATGGTCGAGATGTCCTTCTAATGGAATGTCTTTGGCAATACAATATACGAACGGATGAATGCTCATCTCATATCGAGAGCTACCGTACATGGATGGCTTCCCAGATTAACACCCAAAGATTGATAAGAGACAAGCTAATACATCACGCTGATCCTATCCCACACCCCCAGGGACATTATGCGACCGATATGAATAGAAAACCCCGATGCGCCATGACTCCGCCGTGAATATGCTGGTCATCCTTACTACGCGTCGTAGCCACCATTGAGACTCGGCGAATCTGACCCATTTTGGCCCATATAAGGCATACTGCTCCCGTTCGAGAGGCCGCCAGTGCCATACGTGGTGCGGAATTCCGGCCGGTGGACAGGCCGATTCATTGCATTCAGTGCGGGTCGTTTTGCGGGTCGTACAGGTAGGTCATCGTCATCGTCGTCTTCGTCACTCCCGGTGAGGTCTATCACTTGAGACGCAGGTCGTTTGTTGGTGGACATATATGCAGCGGATGATGTCGTTGAAGGCTCTCGTGACTGGGCAGGTGTGCGCTGAACCATCAAGCTCGGGGTGGAGAAAGACTCTTGTTTTATAGGTGTTGCTCCAGGTTCTTGAATTTCCACCAAGTCGTCATCCTCCGAAGCGGGGGTCGCTCCACCAGCGCCGCCGCCGTCATCGTCTGTTTTGACCGTCGACCATCGTCCGTCGGGTTCGATGATCACTTGTTCCACATCGGACGGTGTCGAACGAAGTATATCATCGACGTACCTGCGATGTCAGAAGCGTTCCAGATCAGTAAAGGTGTAACTTACTGGTCAACCTGTAACGACGCATAACTCGTCGATTTAGAGCAAACGGGGCAAGTCCAGGTTGGCGCTTGCTCTTGCAACTGCAGAAAAGACGACGCGTCAAAGCATCGATTGTGCGTGCATACTACCGAGCGACACGGGACCTCGATTCGGCAGGCGGATATAGGACATTTGAGGGACATAACACTAGATGTAGTGACAATATCTGAGTCATCTGCCTTGCTTTTCACTAGTAATCATTAGTTCTGCTATGTGATTATAAGAGGGGTTGCATAGTTGCATACTTTCCCGGATGACCTGTTCCTTCGAAATGACCTTTCGTTGCTTCAATTCGTTCACAAGCTCCCGGACGGGATGTTGTCGGACAAGATTCGCAAGAACGAAGAACCTCTACACGCAAGTTAGAATCAATGGCCAAGGACAAGAAGGCTGGCAATGCAAATAGCCAGCCAAGTGTATGCTCTTGCACCTACCTTTTGGGTCAAAGCATAAGTCAAGACGATATGGTTTGGATACCCCGGCTTCTTGCGAATGTACTTTGTGATATCTGCCGGTCTGGTGGTGCCGGGTTTATTCTTCAACCCTCGAAGATTCGTCTTGACCTCATCAAGATTAACTTTTAGTTCAACTTGATGCGGAAAAGCAACATCGGAGTTTGTAAACTGGTTTAATCCGTTATCTGCGGCGCAGTAAACCATCACAAGGAGGTGAGGGTCCGTCTGCATCCGAGTCGCAGTGTCTGTATCAAGTATAACTTTGAGCTCCACGCTGTCTCTCGTTTGCTCACGCACTGCATCCAGTTAGACCGTGGTATTTTACAGAGCAGTACATGAATGCTCACCTTTGCATTCCACAGTAGGCGTAAGCTGTTTTAAGATGGTGTAAAAAGGACTGTCCTTGAAGCTCACACGACCTGTGTTCATGTGTTACTCTTGCAATCATAGGATAGGTGAAGCGCATTCGGACATACTTGGTGTGAATCCGGGCGAAGACAACGGAACGCCCAATGGTGATGGTCGATGTTGGTGCATGGGATGAGAGGCTGACGGTGTGGGATATTGGGGACTAGGAATTGACGGAGATAGTGTTGTTGAAGAGGGACTCGGCGGTAGACGATTTGCGACGGCGTATATGAATTTCCTCAGATTGTCGAATCGTTCGATCTGCCCTCCTTGGCTGAGTCGTTCGATGACTAAGAGGTCTCAACACATTAGCTGTTATAACCCAATCCGCAGACCACGAGCAGATTACATACAGTCAATGATCCGAAGCTGTAGTGCAGCCTTCAGCCCCGACACAGCCAGCCCCTCATGCCTCAGGATATCCTTGAGTTGCGCATTCGTCAGTGTTTTCACCAAGGCTACCACGCTGTGGAGCTCGGATTGATTGATGCTGGAGGCCATGATCGAAACGGTATGGCAATGCCACGGGGAGTGAGGGATGGCATCCAAGAGCGCCTCAAGAGGTCTGGTTCAAACCGATTATGCGATGTGCGGCTGCTCTATCCAAAGACATTTCAATGTGATGGGTTCGGTGAGAGAAGGCGGAACGGGGGGATATCATGAAGCAAGATTCTCGATCATCAGTCCCAGGTGGTTGACAGGCGCGAAACCCGAGATTTGCGGCAGTGAATGGCCGGCGATTGACCCCCAGACCGGCGAGGTCGCGGAGGAGAGAAGTAGGTTGTCTCCGATATGATGACATAAGATTCCGCCGCCCCAATCGGCGTTCTTTCTTTCCTCCCGGCGGCAAACCACCGCTAAAAAAAATTGATAAGAAATACTAACACTATCTTCACGTCTCTTAACACTTTGGGTTTGTCCCTCTAACGCATATCGATTCCTCTGAGATTCCTCCCTTGAAATTCCTTCTCTCTTATCCTCCATCTCACAACCATGGCGAAGAGTGTCCGCGCCAGTGTGCAGAAGCGCAACAAGGCCAAGCTGCGTGCCACCGTCTTTGGACCGGTGGTGGATGCGCGGACTGAGAGACTCTCTGCGAAGCTGTTGGAGCTTGCCTCTCAACCGAAGCCCAGCACTGAAGAAAAGCCCGAGTCTGGTGTGTTCTCTTTCGGCTTGCCCAAGTACTTGTTACACAATACGTACTAACTTTTCACTGCAGCCCAACAGGAAGAACAGTCGAAGACGGCGGAATCCAATGAAGGTCGGTTGGTCCTCAATCCGTTTAAGTCCTAAGTCTAACCAGTCTGCAGACATGGACATCGACCAGAATGCCTCCCAGGGCCGTTCGCGCAAGTCGGGTCGCATCCACAAGCGCCACAGCAACCGGAAGAACCGTTCCTCTATCGTTTTCCAGACGAAGCCTAAGAAGGGTTCCAAGAGACGCTGAATACTACTCGCCGGGTGAATGCACCTAGCTGTATATCTGGTTCCTGAAGACAAACTATAAACAAAAGGTGTTTGGAGTTCGATTAAGGGTGTGAAGGTGTTGGATTTCTTCAAGTTTCAGCCATGTTTTTGAAGTGAGAAGCCTTATGATACCAAAGCATACTATTAGGCAAGATTTTTGGCAAATTCCTTGGTAGATGTGAGCGTCCGTGCTGATAAGGAGATGGTTACTTTTTTGACCTTGATAAGAGCTACTGTCCACTATATGGTTCCTATCTTATAGCTCTCAAGTACATACGACCACAGGGTGTGGAAAATAGGGCTTCCCGTCCGCTCAGCCGTACTCAAGCCACACGCCGGCCGGTTAGTAGTTGGGTGGGTGACCACCAGCGAATCCCGGCTGTTGTATGTTTTTTTTGTTTTTTGAGCGCTAAGGCTGAAGCCATTCTCAAGGCGCTGCCACGTACGCAGCGTAGTCGCCTCGTCATGAAGTGTCCGTGCATCGCAAGCAGCTTTGTCACCATTGTACCGTCACCATTGTATCATTCAACTACCTAAATATTTATATTCCACTGCGGCGAACACCACTTATTTCATTTAGGCTTCTGGCAACCTTCTCCTTGCAAACGATACGGCTTCAGAGCGCAGTTACCATGGCTGAGGTCGCGCTCGGGGTCGCAGGATCCGTAGTCGGGATTGTATCCCTTGCGGGGCAACTCTGTGTCGGCATCCAAGAACTGTATGCGTTCCTGGACTCGGTAAAAGACGCAGATATTGATTTGAAATGCATTAAAGACGATGTTGTCTTTCTCCAAAATGCCGTACAGTGGATACGTCGAGACTGTACAGATTCCCCCAAGCATGTGGATGACAGGCTTCTTAGGATGTCTCTCGAACTGTGCAATTCTCGCATTACAAGGCTCTTAGCTATTGTCGAACCCTCCGAGAATACCGACCATAGAACTAAGGCACTCAGAAAACTACGGGCGACGGCAAAGAAGAAGAGGATGCTTGACTTTGTACGGGACCTAGACAGCGCAAAGATGAGTTTGATGCTTGTTCATCAGCTCTATATTCGGTAGGGAACATTCGTATATTAATCGCATAATCCGCGCATGGACTGACTCAGACCGTGACTAGGGAAAACGCTCTTAATGGCACTGTTGGAGGAGCAAGTCAAACTCTTACTGGAGGAATGAGCTCTGGTGAATCAGCTATGAGACATGATCCTACATGCACGAATAGCCGTGTCGAGGAATGTCCAATGCACATAAGGACCCAAACAATCATCAATTCAGCCACATCGGTGAATGAATATCAATTCTTGCTTGGAAAGTTGTCCACCAAGTCCATATCAAGTCGGGCTATAACAAGGAAATGTGATTCCACGAGAATTACGCAATTCGAAACCAAAAAGAAAACTTTCAAACTTGAGCTGGCAAGATGGCTTGCTCCCTTGAACATAGAGCTGCAAGCTCTGCGCCGCTGGGGAAACTGGACTTATCAATTGCGGCATTGGCGCGTAATAAGTGCGAATGCTCTTTTATTCGAGTTGTGCCAGGATGGGGACCTGAAAAATGTTCAACGGCTTCTTAGTAAACGGCTTGCCTCCCCGTTCGACGTGTCACCAACGGGAGAAACAGTTTTGCATGTGAGCTACTCCCTATTAAATTTCTTATCTTTCCAGTGTGTTGACTTTCCCCTCTGAAAGTACGCTGCGAGATCTGGACATCCAGAGTTGGTCTCGTTTTTCTTGCAAATAGGGGCGGATGCAGGTGCTGAAACCATAACCGGAGAGTATGCGCGCCCTCACAGCGTCCATCACATTTACTGACGGAATGGTATAGGAGTGCATTCCAGTATGCAATGGGGAGCCCACGAGAAGATAAACATCTTGAGTTAGCACGGCTGTTTATAGACCGAGGACAAGTTGATCCTATGGCTTCTGGGTCGCAGTACGGCATCATACACGCATATCATGGTCCGCCGGAGACATTCGAGTACATGATCAAGCAACATACATATTGCATTGGCCCAGAAGAAAGGAACAAACAGGGCAAGACCATTTTACATCATCAGATTCTCCACAGACTCTATTATGGGGATTCTTTCGAACGAATCAAAATCCTGTTTATAACTGGCCATCACATTATTGACAGCAGGATTACGGATGATGGTGTATATGTTCAATTTGGTGGGTATACAGCGCTTCATTGTGCTGTTGAAAGATGGTCATGGGCGAAAACAAAACGAGACGAACACACCGAACAGCAAGCCAAATCAGTCGTGCAGTGCCTTCTGGAAAGAGGAGAAAACGTACACGCCATGAGCAGGGGTCGACGCTTCACCCCCTTGACAGCAATTGGTGAAATGGTGATTGATAGTCCCAATTCGTCCCAGGTGGAAGTCATCCGTGAATGGCTAGGCCTTCTCTCAAAGGCTGGCTATGATCTGAATGACTATCTCCTTACAGAGGCCAAACTCGAGCAACAGAGACCAGAAACCTGGCCACATTTTCGCCTTACTTTCGAGGAAGAAAACGGCCAGATACTACCGCTGCTATTCGTGTCTTCATCAGTTTCAATGGCGCGTTCGCAGGATCGTCAGGTCCCAATCAACACGGAAAGCTCCGCCGCCACGGACGTACGGAAGATCGAAGTTCCAAACACTGAATCGTCAACATTGCCATTCCTACGTCTCTCAGTACTTTCGCATTATGCTCAACACTTGGTTTCATACCTGTCAATTGGCTTAAATGCGAGCCCAGCTACGACGCTCCTTGTAATCGTTCTGGGCTGTTTTATGGTCTTAATGTAGAACATCTAAGTCCCTATACCGCTTGAAAGGTATGACATAAGGGAACTACGATGCCAAAGTGTTAATTTGAGTTACTCTTTCACCGAAATAGAGCGACTGGGAATCTTACTTCTATAAGGAGGGAAACACATAGGGGAATACAGGCGGTGTGCTCAAGCAGAATAGGCCGTAGCTCCAGCAGCTGAGGTTTCTATATAGACCTTCTGTGGAAGGCTTCCATGGGAGCCTCTTATGTCTACGAGGTCCTACCGACCTCCCTAGGCTATGATTCGTACTAGGCATATGGAGCCCATGACAGTCATGAGGTCCATTCTACCCTACTATCCACCGTCAGACGTACCCGTAGCCATGAAAGCTAGGGGTTAAAAGCCACTAACAAGAGTAGAGGAAGTGGTTAATTCATGATTGGACAAGCCTCCGAAGAGACAAATACAAAATATATGCCCTAAGCAAGGAAAAAAACTAGTAATAAAAAAAAGGAAGGTATACAATATCCCACCGCGCCCCCGGCCCATGATCTTAGTATATTTGACTACAAGCCACGCAATTATCTGTGGTAGATATCCAAATCTTTACGCTTACAAGGGGAAGATTTGGTGCTACCTGTTAGTCTTATTTGCACGAATGTAACTTCCTACTAGCTTAGGTGTATATTATCAGTTGGGTAAACAGGGGCCTGAATTGCCCTGAAGGAAGACTGAATACGGCGAAAAGCCGCCCACGCTGCGCCTGGTGAGCACCACCATACTTGTGCTGTTGTATGTTTTTTTACCTGGCTGAGCTTAGACCCGGCCGTTATGAGGCAGGTTGGAAAGTAGCCCCGACTGTGCGTCCACAACAGAAAGAAAAACAGTCTCGTTGGGTCCTCCCCAGCCGAAGAGAATAGTAGTTCAATCTCATAGCAGGACGTAGATCTCTCCGCCGGAGGCACCCTAGGAAGACTGCCAGAGGATCTACCTTACTCTACCTCCTACTACCCGTATGGCATAGAAAGTTTTGTAGCATTAAGTGCAGTCCAAGAAACATTTTCTTCCCTTATGAGCTATATCACGAGCCCTATCCATAAACGGTATCTTCAGGACTCAGGACATTGCTTTCACTTAGCTTCTTCTGGACCAGAATGAATGTTGGCTCAGTAATACACACTCTCTGGATACGAGGCATGCCTACAGAGTTACACGACGTTCATCAGAGACGGGTGGATCTCACGATTTCACTCCATCAAAGTGGAGATCTATAGGTCTGATCAGCTAGGCAGGGATCGCGCTTGTGGAAGTAGGAAGCGTAAGTCCTCAGTAGACCTTACAGCGTAAGTAACACTGCGTTAATTGCATTGGAGATCTTCGCTAGCATGATGCTTATTTGGTTGATAGCTTAGCCACAAGCGTACCCCGGGATCCAGTACTTAGGAAACCGCCACAATCCGGGACAATATTGACCCATTTCGACGGGGCAGTGAAGACCGTATCGTGAGTATCCTGCAAGAAGTGGGCCTGTGGAACGCGGTGCAGGAAAAGGGTGGCCTATATGCTATCGTTGACGCGAAGACCTTCTCGAGTGGCCAAAAGCAAATTCTCTGCATGGCCCGTGCAATCCTTCAACCAGGGGCCTTGGTGCTGTTAGATGAGTGTACACGCAGGTACTTTGTCCTTCAATACACAGCCGACCTAGAGATGCTCAGACGTATGCACTGCAGTGCGGACCAAAGCACGTCCAACATCATCAACCATCTTGTTCACTCTTGTTTCGGACAACAGACCGTCATCGCGACCATACATCGGCTGGAGTCTATCATGGATTTCAACCGCGTCCTGGTCATGGAGCATGGCGTGCTTGTCCAGGACGGCGGCCCGCGGGAGCTCGTTTCTAAGCCAGGGGCCTTACGTGACCTCTTCTGTGCCAAAGGAAGGGTCCCTGTTATAAGTTGCTTCCTTGAGTAAGAAGGAGCACCTAATTTTACTCGTGATCGGTCCCTCCATCTTATATTACATTGTAAGATTCACACGAGGTCAAACTACTTTATAATGAATTTAGAATGCTTGTAATTGTCGATTATAATACTTAGTCAAATTGTATATATTTACCTTCTGAATACGTCATAGTTCTGCTCAGCGTTCTTGGGGTGCTAAAAGATAGATGTCCATTGATTGCCGCCATAGCGAGGATTCTGGGGCAGGACAACCCGAAGATAAACCTCCTTCGGCTTAGTTAACTAGCTAGAGGGGATGATTCTGTTTAGACAACCTCGGGCTCACTGGTTTTGGGCAGCGATTATGCGTGAACAAACTAGGTTATTCAAGTTCTAGTTAGTGAGCAGGTCTTAGCATTGGCTACTCTATATCTACTATGATTTTGGCTTATGTTCGCCGTGGGGGTTCTAAGTCTAGGGGATAACGTCTGCTGGCCGGTTGTCATGCCAAACCTAGCGGTTATAGGAAGAAAGGCGGCTGCCCAAGTTATGACAGACAAAGTCTATGGTCATGGCTGAGCTTCACCAGGCCTTTTTCAAGATCCTTGCTATACCACCCTTGTGTGGCGTCTCTGTCTTTCTGACTTGTTGCTGACATGTGCAGGGTAACATCAGGCCTTAACGGACTTCGGCGACCCCGATTACGCCTTCTTGGCATCTGGACCTTTGATTGCCTGCGCAGATGCAGGGGTATGGCTCCCTTGCCTGTCTCTCCTCCTGGCGCTTCCGTGCTATTCCCAGGCCATCTTGTTGGATAATCATGCCAGTGGTTGCATGAGTTCCTGGTGTACCGAAGACAACTTTCAACAATGAGAAGGATATAGCGCAGGACGTACTAGGTGACGAGAAACTAGCTACGCCTGCTTGGTCCTGGTGGTGAGAGTCATTAGCCACCTTGAGAGAAGATAACAGGAGCGCCAGGTGCCATTAACTTATGTCATCCTAAGCGCCGAATCTCTAAACTGCAGAGTAAATGGGAACAGCAGGAACTAGCGGACCATACGAAGTTTGCTGCATTTGCAGAATCAAATATCTCGAGAAGAAGGTCTAGGTCAGAGTGAACGATAGACAGCGGGCGTGATGCTCGTCTGAAGTTTGAAACGACCTCCATTCCTCCCTAGTCTGGCGTGACATTGCCATCAACCTTAGGCCTAGTTGTACGCGTGGGGCCTCTATAGGTAGACACAGGAAGCTTCACTTCTCCATATGTGGGGAGAAAAACGCATATTGAAGACGGAGTAGAAAAACCTCATGGATCAGGCTGATCAGGCTCAGCAATCATCTCGCTCTCAGCTAGAGACGCAAGCAGCCTGATAACTTAATCCAGTCAACCGACTCACTAAGGCTGTTAGTGGCATGGCTGGTGCTGGAAACCGCCACTGAAAGGGCCCCATTCTGTGGACGAGCAAATCACAGGCGAATCAGAGATTATGTCTTACATTCGCCAGCCAATACGTTTGTGATACCTGCAATAGGGTCCCATTGCATCTAAAACTGGTATGATTCATTTAGTATAATGGTAGGATATTGGGATACGGTGACTGCGGGGTACGACATGGGACTGGAAGCACATAAATTCGCTATTGTCACAGCTTCAGCGATGCAACCTCTGTCCTTATCTTGGCTCTCCTCCAGATTGTGATTCTGCCTTTAAAATGATGTACGAGTGGATATTTCTTCTGCTCATTGGAGTTCCTGTGACGTCTGGTATTGCCCTCTGTTTAATTCCGGTTCTCAGTTGCAGACATTAACTAAGCCTACACAGGTGCGCATCTCAGAGATGCCAAAAGAAGTGTGCCTTTAACCGACCTGCCTTCCACATGCACCTCTTCTTTGAGTAGCCAGTGGTTAAGTATATGTAACACCACGATTTTTTGGCCAACGTCGACGGACTACTTTTATGGCCCGACGACTGGTCCTGGTGCATCTGCGGTGTCCTGCAACGCCCAATGGGTCGAGTACAAGAAACGAGCAAATAATTTAATGGATATGGGCCCAACTTCTACATCTACCATCACCGAAACTTATCCCAGCAGTACTGGGGCGTGCACCAAGCAGGTCTGGCCAGAGGGTCCAGGCGATTTGCATACTGGCCCTGTCACCACGGCCTGCGATGGGATCCCGCGTGCTCTAGGTCCTCTAGAGTATCTTACAAGTTACTGGCCGGGCACGGGGCCCTGTAGCACGATTATGTTAAGCAGCACCTGGACGACCCCCATCTATCGGTTGCCCTCATCTTCTCCTACCTGTCAGCTCAATGTCCAAGACTGCATCCCCATCTGGCAAACCTACAATAGCCTATTTAACGCCTATGTGGAGTCGGTGACCGTCGAGATACCGGGAGACACGAACAGCCCGATTCGACCAGTGAACTGTCCATCTACCCGGCAAACCGAGCAAGATCCGTGCACCAACTGCCATTACCTTCCTGGCACGGCCACACTCTTCTACTGGCCCGTGTCCACCACCAGTGGCGACCTCTGTCTGCAGAACGGAAGCACAATCACCGCCACGCCAACAGGTGATGGTCCCAACACGGCAATCGTCGACAGCTATACCTTCACTTCGCCCAGCATCTACGTATCTTTCACCAGTATATACGCTCGGGGTAATAATCGCAAGTACCCTGGTGGCTCGTGCGGCGCCGACCAAGAAAATGTGATTGTTTCTATCCATCCCGATGCCGTGAC